TTTCCCTTTCCCTTCTTTTCCTTTTCTTTCTCTCCTTTTTTTTCGGGGGGGGGGGGGGGAGGGGGGGGGGCAAGGCCCGCTCGCCCCCCCCCCTGGATCCGCGCCTCTCTACATGTACTTAATGTACATTTGTCTATTATGTAAAAATCAGACTAATTAAACGAGCGTGCTCGCTAAATTCAATTCGACAACTAATGATCATTATTTTCTCACAAAAAGACATTTTCAAACCTTTTGGTTTTGAGGGAAGTTCTAAATTATTATTATCATTCAAATTACGTTGGAATTTAACCTCGTCATTATTTTTGGCCTGCACATAGGACCTAATACCCGTTTTAACTTCAATAAACTGTATTGTAATTGGATGGTGAAAAATTAATATTCCAGTTTATCCATAGTCAATGTACATGGCGCTATAGGGTGGTGAAAAGTTAGCGTAGGGTGGTGAAAAATTAATATTCCAGGTTATCCATAGACAATGTACATGACGGTAGGGTGGTGAAAAGTTAGCGTAGGGTGGTGAAGAGTTAATATTTCAGCTTATCCATAGACAATGTACATAACGGAAGGGTGGTGAAAAGTTAGCGTAGGGTGGTGAAGAGTAAATAATCCATAGACAATGTACATGACGGTAGGGTGGTGAAAAGTTAGCGTAGGGTGGTGAAGAGTTAATATTCCAGCTTATCCATAGACAATGTACTTGGCGCTAGGGTGGTGAAAAGTTAGCGTAGGGTGGTGAAGAGTTACTATTCCAGCTTATCCGTAGACAATGCACATGACGGTATAGGGTGGTGAAAAGTTAGCGTAGGGTGGTGAAGAGTTAATAATCCATAGACAATGTACATGACGGTAGGGTGGTGAAAAGTTAGCGTAGGGTGGTGAAGAGTTAATATTCCAGCTTATCCATAGACAATGTACATGGCGCTAGGGTGGTGAAAAGTTAGCGTAGGGTGGTGAAGAGTTAATATTCCAGTTCATCCATAGACATTGTACATGACGCTAGGGTGGTGAAAAGTTAGCGTAGGGTGGTGAAGAGTTATTATTCCAGCTTATCCGTAGACAATGCACATGACGCTAGGGTGGTGAAAAGTTAGCGTAGGGTGGTGAAGAGTTAATATTCCAGCTTATCCATAGACAATGTACATGGCGCTAGGGTGGTGAAAAGTTAGCGTAGGGTAGTGAAGAGTTAATATTTCAGTTATCCATAGACATTGTACATGACGCTATAGGGTGGTGAAAAGTTAGCGTAGGGTGGTGAAGAGTTAATATTCCAGCTTATCCATAGACAATGCACATGACGCTAGGGTGGTGAAAAGTTAGCGTAGGGTGGTGAAGAGTTAATATTCCAGCTTATCCGTAGACAATGCACATGACGCTAGGGTGGTGAAAAGTTAGCGTAGGGTGGTGAAGAGTTAATATTCCAGCTTATTCATAGACAATGTACATGGCGCTAGGGTGGTGAAAAGTTAGCGTAGGGTAGTGAAGAGTTAATATTTCAGTTTATCCATAGACATTGTACATGACGCTATAGGGTGGTGAAAAGTTAGCGTAGGGTGGTGAAGAGTTAATATTCCAGCTTATCCATAGACAATGTACATGGCGCTAGGGTGGTGAAAAGTTAGCGTAGGGTGGTGAAGAGTTATTATTCCAGCTTATCCGTAGACAATGCACATGACGGTATAGGGTGGTGAAAAGTTAGCGTAGGGTGGTGAAGAGTTAATAATCCATAGACAATGTACATGACGGTAGGGTGGTGAAAAGTTAGCGTAGGGTGGTGAAGAGTTATTATTCCAGCTTATCCGTAGACAATGCACATGACGGTATAGGGTGGTGAAAAGTTAGCGTAGGGTGGTGAAGAGTTAATAATCCATAGACAATGTACATGACGGTAGGGTGGTGAAAAGTTAGCGTAGGGTGGTGAAGAGTTATTATTCCAGCTTATCCATAGACAATGTACATGGCGCTATAGGGTGGTGAAAAGTTAGCGTAGGGTGGTGAAGAGTGAATATTCCAGCTTATCCATAGACAATGTACATGGCGCTAGGGTGGTGAAAAGTTAGCGTAGGGTGGTGAAGAGTTATTATTCCAGCTTATCCGTAGACAATGCACATGACGGTATAGGGTGGTGAAAAGTTAGCGTAGGGTGGTGAAGAGTTACTATTCCAGCTTATCCGTAGACAATGCACATGACGGTATAGGGTGGTGAAAAGTTAGCGGAAGGTGGTGAAGAGTTAATAATCCATAGACAATGTACATGACGGTAGGGTGGTGAAAAGTTAGCGTAGGGTGGTGAAGAGTTATTATTCCAGCTTATCCGTAGACAATGCACATGACGGTATAGGGTGGTGAAAAGTTAGCGTAGGGTGGTGAAGAGTTACTATTCCAGCTTATCCGTAGACAATGCACATGACGGTATAGGGTGGTGAAAAGTTAGCGGAAGGTGGTGAAGAGTTAATAATCCATAGACAATGTACATGACGCTAGGGTGGTGAAAAGTTAGCGTAGGGTGGTGAAGAGTTAATATTCCAGCTTATCCATAGACAATGTACATGGCGCTAGGGTGGTGAAAAGTTAGCGTAGGGTGGTGAAGAGTTAATATTCCAGTTCATCCATAGACATTGTACATGACGCTAGGGTGGTGAAAAGTTAGCGTAGGGTGGTGAAGAGTTAATATTCCAGCTTATCCATAGACAATGTACATGGCACTAGGGTGGTGAAAAGTTAGCGTAGGGTGGTGAAGAGTTATTATTCCAGCTTATCCGTAGACAATGCACATGACGGTATAGGGTGGTGAAAAGTTAGCGTAGGGTGGTGAAGAGTTAATATTCCAGCTTATCCATAGACAATGTACATGGCGCTAGGGTGGTGAAGAGTTAATATTCCAGCTTATCCATAGACAATGTACATGGCGCTAGGGTGGTGAAAAGTTAGCGTAGGGTGGTGAAGAGTTAATATTCCAGTTTATCCATAGACAATGTACATGGCGCTAGGGTGGTGAAAAGTTAGCGTAGGGTGGTGAAGAGTTAATATTCCAGTTCATCCATAGACATTGTACATGACGCTAGGGTGGTGAAAAGTTAGCGTAGGGTGGTGAAGAGTTAATATTCCAGCTTATCCATAGACAATGTACATGGCACTAGGGTGGTGAAAAGTTAGCGTAGGGTGGTGAAGAGTTATTATTCCAGCTTATCCGTAGACAATGCACATGACGGTATAGGGTGGTGAAAAGTTAGCGTAGGGTGGTGAAGAGTTAATATTCCAGCTTATCCATAGACAATGTACATGGCGCTAGGGTGGTGAAAAGTTAGCGTAGGGTGGTGAAGAGTTATTATTCCAGCTTATCCGTAGACAATGCACATGACGGTATAGGGTGGTGAAAAGTTAGCGTAGGGTGGTGAAGAGTTAATATTCCAGCTTATCCATAGACAATGTACATGGCGCTAGGGTGGTGAAAAGTTAGCGTAGGGTGGTGAAGAGTTAATATTCCAGCTTATCCATAGACAATGTACATGGCGCTAGGGTGGTGAAAAGTTAGCGTAGGGTGGTGAAGAGTTAATATTCCAGTTTATCCATAGACAATGTACATGGCGCTAGGGTGGTGAAAAGTTAGCGTAGGGTGGTGAAGAGTTACTATTCCAGCTTATCCGTAGACAATGCACATGACGGTAGGGTGGTGAAAAGTTAGCGTAGGGTGGTGAAGAGTTAATATTTCAGCTTATCCATAGACAATGTACATAACGGAAGGGTGGTGAAAAGTTAGCGTAGGGTGGTGAAGAGTTAATAATCCATAGACAATGTACATGGCGCTAGGGTGGTGAAAAGTTAGCGTAGGGTGGTGAAGAGTTACTATTCCAGCTTATCCGTAGACAATGCACATCACGGTATAGGGTGGTGAAAAGTTAGCGTAGGGTGGTGAAGAGTTAATAATCCATAGACAATGTACATGACGGTAGGGTGGTGAAAAGTTAGCGTAGGGTGGTGAAGAGTTAATATTCCAGCTTATCCATAGACAATGTACATGGCGCTAGGGTGGTGAAAAGTTAGCGTAGGGTGGTGAAGAGTTAATATTCCAGTTTATCTATAGACATTGTACATGACGCTAGGGTGGTGAAAAGTTAGCGTAGGGTGGTGAAGAGTTATTATTCCAGCTTATCCATAGATAATGTACATGACGCTAGGGTGGTGAAAAGTTAGCGTAGGGTGGTGAAGAGTTAATATTACCATTTATCCATAGACAATGTACATGACGCTAGGGTGGTGAAAAGTTAGCGTAGGGTGGTGAAGAGTTGATATTCCAGTTTATCCAGATAATGTACATGACGGAAGGGTGGTGAAAAGTTAGCGTAGGGTGGTGAAGAGTTAATATCACCATTTATCCATAGACAATGTACATGACGCTAGGGTGGTGAAAAGTTAGCGTAGGGTGGTGAAGAGTTAATATTCCACTTTTATCCATAATTGACAATGTACATATGACGTGGTGAAAAGTTGAGATCGTGAAAAATTATATCCATAGAAAATATGTACATGACGGTAACATAATGGTGAATAATTTATGTGATTTGGTATTTAAAGAGTCAATGCCCCCTTTCCCAGAGAAAAGGCATATATATGCATGACATGCTTATAATTCCGGTGCGGGGATATATTGCAATTCGAAAGAAGAGATAACGTTTTAATTTCTAACATAAATGAGGTGAGGTCTTATTATAATTCTTTGATTTGCCCCTAAGTACTGCGCTTTACCCCCCCCCCCCCCCCCCCCCCCCCCCCCTCCCATCATCTACTCTCATTATATCCGACCACCATGCCTATTTTAATTGGTAGCCAGCCATCGTTGCACTGATCATGCCTGATGGATACAATACACAAAGAATATATTGCGTGTGTGTAGTATAGCGGTTGTACGTGTACAATGCGATCCTTACACTTATCAAATTGGCATTTTTTCCACATAAGATGGGCTACCTTCATCTCCGATTAGGTGTGTGAAGAAAAGCTTCACCCACACCAAAGCAGGATTTTCGCATGAAGTTTCTCCTTTTTCTTTTATTTACTGGTTTATAGAACGTATTTGAAGCATGTCTAGTCGGATTACGCAGGTGAGAAATACTTGGTTTACCTAATTGTGAAAATTATGGTTATTTCTGAATTTAATTTGTAGCAAATTAAGGAGATTGTTAGTGTTAATTGGCCATGGTTCTGTTTTTTTTCTTCTTCAGTCCCGTTCGTTAGAATTAGAGTAGGCTAGGGTCAATTGACGCCAATCTTTCCGCTAGTGGACTTCGTATCAATTTCTGACCCGTAACTCCGGCGTGGAGATACCCTACTAAAACATACAAAAAAAATCAACTTAATCTTCATTAATTGTTCAAATAATGGTCATAATATAAAGTCGTTATATTTCTTACCCCTTTCGTGTCAATTTTCTTATCTTTTTTGGAATATTTTTCCTAAAAAAAAGAAGACATTGGTCATTGTAATTCACTTTCTCACAGGTTTCACGGCAAACCGCTGCACAATTACAATACAATTGCATACCGTACCGATGAAGGAGTGCGCGCGCATGAACCTGAGTGAAGTTATCAACTGTAATCTCAGATCCTCATCAAATTAATTACGACGATGACCGTTAATTATTACGGTCGCTAACTTTACGCACACGGGCCCACTCGCACCCCTTCGGTACGCGTACGGTACGCAAATTGAAACCTGTGAGAAAGTGTATATTATAATGACTTGGTTTTCAGGAAAAATATTCCAAAAAAGATTAGAAAATTGACACGAAAGGGGTAAGAATATAAGGACTTTTAAATCATGATCATTATTTGAACAATCAGACAATTGATGAAGTTTTAGTTGATTTTTGGTATGTTGCGGGTCACAAATGGATACGAAAGTACACTATATCGAACCTTGAAGACTTTTCTTTCTACTTGTACAATACACTTTGAAAGTGTCGAGAATTGATTCTGCTGGGAATGCAAATACATGCGGTATACATGAAAATGGCTGATTTCGCTTCCCAATTTGAAATCTCCTTTACAAAAATAGTAATTAGTGTGAAAAGGGGGCATGCTTGGAGTGTTGCTAAATTCATTGACACCCATGTGTCTTATACTTTTATCTTTCCTCCTCTCTTTGTCTTTCATACTGACCATGTCTTCTTTCTTTTTTTCTAGCAATGGGCAACCTTCTCGCGCATATGGTATCTCATAGATGCGTATAGGCAACCACCAGGAAGGGTAGCTGTCGCCATCTCCAAAGTTCTTCAGGGAAAACACAAACCTATCTATCATCCACTAAGTAAGTAATTGCAGGAATGGGGGGGGGGGGGGTGGTTCAATTTTTGATATGGTATATAGACTTAGAGGTCACTTTAGATATAGTAAACCATTAATTGGTTTGAAATATCAACTGGAATTGAACTACAGGGGCTAGGCCCGCTAGGGAGGTGATTTTGGTAGATATTTCCTTAGTATTTGTGAATGTGACCTGCTTACCTAAGTCATAAACTGTTTGGTTCCTTGGTTCCTGAGGGGGTTTAAGATGGGTTTTTGACATTAACACGATGCACCAGGGACCCATTTCACAAAGCCTTTTTTCAATGACCAAAATCAGTGACAAATCTGCTGATAACCTATCAGAAGAATGGATTTCACTAGACTATAACAAAAACTGTGATTTGTCACTGATGACAATTTTTGTTAAATGGGCCCTAGACAGCTTTTCAAAACACCGTTGTGAAAAGTTCAAGTTTGCCCACAAACCATGGAAATGAAGCGTTTTATTGAGGTGGCGGTGAACTTGTACTTAATATGGTTTTGTGAACAGCACCCTGATTTCAATGTATTGGGATCATTTTAATTTTTTAACCCTTGCTGTACTTTGCTTTCTGAAGCCCCTGACTTGAGTGAGAATGATTTTAAAAGACTTTAAACTTCCTGACCTGTCTTTGCTGTTTCTTTTCTGGCATCATGAGCTAAGCAACTGACATCCGAATGGGTTAGTGTTACCCTTTGACAACATTGATGTTCAACGTATATAAGCCTAACATTGGTCAAATAGTTTAGATATCAGTGATAAAACATACATGTACCTATATTGTTTATGATCTAAAGAGATATTACTTCGCATATATCACTGAGCTATGTTGCTGTACCATGTGTAACCCAGGAGTTCAATTGATAGCCCCTTACACCTTCCTGTCAGGCAGAGGTGAAAGCCGGAAGGGCGTTAATTATGTGTTAAAAGGAAATCCAACCTTTGATAGCAAAAAAAGAGGAAAGCAGAAAATCAGAGAAGTAGACCAGGGGAAGTCCAAGTGGAAACGGAAAAAAAATAAAACGTTGTAATCATGACAGGTATGGGCTCTTCAATTTGGCTGAATCAGTGATGTCTCTGTGATGAAGTGGTAGACAACTTTCCCACTTGTTCCAACTCAAAAATTTATGACTCAGGAGGGTCTATTTTCGTTAGAGGACCTACAGTACATGTATAATAAAATGTTATACATTATATAATTTGAGTATTGCCCCCAAGAGAGAGGGAACTTAGGAGAGAAAAATACAGAAACTGATGATATGTTTGTACACGACTACATCAGAATACACTGACCTAACTGCTAATTTGAGATTCGCGTAGACTTTGGGATCTCATATTTGAAACATTCATAACTTTTGTATTATTGGTCCGACGTATTTCAAACTATCGCCCATCTCTTTCTCTGATATTCTGCTTTCATACAAATGAACTCATTATACAAGAGTTGGATTGCCCTTTAGAGGATATGAGTTTGACTCTCATCATACTGTATACAAAGTGAAGATCAGAGGAAGTAATGCTTTGTGTTTCTTTGACAAACAGGTGATGTTGGAGACCACGTGGTGGTTATAAACACAAGCCAAGTTGCATATGCCAAGGATAAGTGGGAGGAGAAAATTTACTACCACCATACTGGGTAAGTGCTGGAGCTTCTCTTTTTTAGGCGGAGGGGAGGGAGGAGGTTGATTCATTTCTGCTTACATTTGCGTTGGGCTTTATTTCATCCAAGATATCATGTTAGGTTAAGGATTTGTGATTGGGTTTTAGGTTAGTTTCTTAGTGTAGAATTTGGTCCAGGTATGGAGTTAAAGGGGAAGTTCACCCTGATATTAGGTTGGTATTAATATAAGCAGAAAAAATTAGAGGAACAGGCCAATAAAAGTTTTGGCAAAATTTGATTGAAAAAATGAGAACGATATTAATTAAAAGCTGCTGTCAATCAAACCCAAATTGGCAACACTGTGACAAGGTCTTCTCCAATCTGTACAGAAAATTCATAAACTTTCATTTTCTTAGTTATTGATGACAGAATAGATTTGTTTCATACAAGGGTTGTAAAACATATTTGCAGCAATTATATTTATAAAGGTGCATGTATCATTTGAAAAAAAATTATCGCAAAAATAGAATTTCTAAGAAAAAGTTGTGATTGTTTTTGGAATATTACTTGTTGTTGATGTAAACTGGCCTTTGAAAGAATATTTTTTGGTTTTATTTGTGTTTGATATTTCAATCATGCATGTTTTTCATTTTAACTATTTCAGATATCCAGGTGGATTCAGCGAAACTCCTGCCCATGAGTTTCACCAAAAAGACCCTACAAAGGTAATTCGGTAGCTACACAGTCATTTTTTTGTGTATTGTCCAAAAAAGCAGGAAGTCAATGGAAAGGATGTACTGGTAGGTCGATAGATAGCGTAGTAAATCACTCAAATCTTTTTTAAATTTTACCATCACATTGTTAATAAAATATTAATATCTTGACTTCTTTTTTGTGTGTAAAAATATGCAGGGCTTAAATTAATCCAAGGCCACCAAGGCCATGGCCTTGGATGCCCCTTTGATTGGCCTCAATTCCCCTCTCATTGGCCTTGGAGATTTTTTGTGCCCTTTCCAATTCTTCCTATTTGTGCTGTAATATAGGAATTTGCCCTACAGAAAAGTGGCCTTGCCCTAACAATATTGAAATTTAAGGCCTGAATATGTCTTTATATAATTTCTCTGTGTCTCCTTTTTTCTTTCTCCCTTGTTTGTTTCCAATTTTTTAACCTCCACTTCTCTCTCTCTCTCTCTCTCTCTGCCTGTCTCTGTCTCTCTCCCTCCCTCTTTATCTCTCTCTCTCTGTCTCCCTCCCTCCCCCTCCCTCCCCCTCTCTGTTTCCCTCTCTGTCCCCCTCTCTGTCTCCCTCCCTCCCCATCTGTTTCCCTCTCTCTCCCTCTCTGCCTCCCACCCTCTCTCTCTCTCTCTCTGCCTCCCACCCTCTCTCTCTTTCTCTCTTATCCTGTCTCTGTCTATTTCTCAGGTGATAAAGAAAGCTGTGTATGGCATGCTGCCCAAAGATCTCAGAAGACGTGAGATGATGAGGAGGTTACATTTATTTGCCGATCATGTAAGTTGATCTACCACCTGTTTTAATTAAGTTACATTGGTTGCCAATACGGCATAGAATTGCATTTGAGATACTTTTGCATGTTTACAAACTTACAAAGCATTGTATGGCCAAGCCCCAATTGTTTGTCTGAATTATTATCTTTTTACATCGCAAGTACCGGTAACTTACAAAGTACACAGGACAAGCTGCTCCTAAAACTATCTCACACAAAATAAAAGTAACTCTTGGAGGTTGTCCTTTCATTTATGCTGCTCCAAATCGCGTTGTACGTTTCTCTGCTGTAAACTACATACACATTACACTCGCGCTGCAGAGAGCTTGAGCACATGATGAAAACAAAGATTTTTCAATAAGCACCACAATTTGTAACAATATTGCACACGAATGGGACATTCAATTACGATATAAATGACATGCCTTATTTGCCCCAATCTCAACTATCCTCTTTTCTGTTGACTGACAGGATTTTGGAACCGGTCTATTGATTTTTGAGGAACAATTATTACAACCAAACACTTGGCAGTACACCATGTTTGACATGTATTGTATATAACGCCCGCTTCTAGGCATATAGCCTCGCTACATCAGTTCTCTGTGCGAAACGTCACAACCTGGAAGTTACAAATGGAAATTTTAAAAAAAATGGTAGTTTCCTTGGGTAGCAGACAAAATGTTTTACTCTCTATGTCATGATAATGCTTCATAGTGGAGAGGTTAATTCCCCTTTAATATAGCCTTTTCAGGAAGACTTCCACATGGTTTACTGGTAATTGAAAGCTTTTGATCATGAATACTCGCTCATGATGAAAAGAATAATCAGAATCAATTTTGCTCTTTCTCTCTCTCTTTCTCACGCACTCTCCCCCCCCCCCCCCCCCCCCCCTCCTCTCTCTCCCCCTCCCTCCTCTCTCTCCCCCTCCCTCCTCTCTCTCTCCTCTCTCTCTCCTCTCTCTCTATCTCCTCTCTCTCCCCCTCCCTCTCTCTCCCTTCCTCCCTCTCTGTCTCTCCCTCACTCCCCCTCTCTCTCTCCCCATCTGTCCATCTGTTTTTCATCCAGGATGTACCAGAGGACATCTTAGCCAACGTCAGTGAGCAGATCAAACCACCCAGGGTAGTCCCCAGAGCTCTCACAGAGTACACACAGGAAGAGCTAGATAACTTCCCAAAGTTATGGCTACCGTAAGTCGTCACTCAAACAGTATTACATGTAGACTAGGTTGAAGACATTTATGAAATTGAAAGAAATTATATATATATATATATATAATCTATGTGTACTGTGCTTTGGGGAAATTTGACTACTGTTTATTTTCAAAGTTCATTTATAAAATCTACTCGAGAAAAACTAATGTCACACATGCCTGGTGATTTTTTTTATAGTATTATTATTATTATTATTATCAATTTTTAGATGTAGAGTACTTTTCTTTAAGACCCCACTGCCCCCTCCACCCCCTCCCCTGTTTTCACATGTGCTTGACTTTCTTCATTCTTTAATGGTCGATTTCTCTCTTTTGTTTGTCTTGCACAGAAAGGAGCCAAAGTACTGACAAGAATTATCACTATGAGCCATGTACATCAAGAGACTCTATATGAAAGGACTACTTTGAGCCATCTCCATTTATCACTTCCAAAGTCCACCATGCTCTTATGCAATCATGGAAGCCACTTGCTTAAAACACCAGTCTGCAGTCGTTTATAATCATCGGTAGCTAAGATGGTTAATTTGAGCTTGTTTGGTCATAGATGTTAAAAGCAGGTTTGATTGGAGGATGCTAGGAGGTCAGGAGGAAACCATTTTGTGCTTCAGAATCAGAGAATATATAATTATTTTATACTCGAAACCTGCTTCAAGTGGTTCCTGTATAGAAAGACTACCCATCGATAAAGCCTGCAGTCTTGGTTTTCCCTGAACAGTGATTCGCAGTGAAACGTTTTGATTAACTTGTACTTGAAGACACCTTTCCAATGAAGACTACTTTATTTGGCATCCTTGAGCACAGGTTTCACTGTACCTTGAAACCACAAGGACTACACGATGATCACCGGATTTCATTCTTGCTGTCTTCACGTTTGTTGATCTGAAAATATGGACAAGCAACTTTAAGATGGTTATGATGAAAGCCGATATTGTGATGTTTTTATGATTTAAAGATGGAAAATTAATGTATATTTGTTTCCACGCTGTCTTGTTTTGATGTTTGGCAGTAGTCTCAAGGAATGAGAATATTGAGTACCTCTGTATTAGAATGAGGAGACTGAATGAGATATAGAAGTGAGGGGTGTTCTTCTGAAGGATAAAGAGAGAGAGAAGGGGGGCAGAGAGATAGTTAAGAGAGAGAGAGAGAGAGAAAGAGTAAGAGAGATGGGGCAGGAGAGAGTGAAGAGAGAGAGAGAGGGGGCAGGGAGAGAGTGAAGAAAGACAGAGAAGAGAGAGAGAGAAGGGGGGGGGCAGGGAGATAGTTAAGAGTAAGAGTAAGAGTAAGAGAGATGGGACAGGAGAGAGTGAAAAGAGAGAGAGGGGGCAGGGAGAGAGTGAGAGAGAGAGGGGTGGGAGAGAGTGAAGAGAGATAAGGGGGGGGGGGGGTGAAGAGAGAGAAAAGGAGGGAGAGATATAGACAGGAAAATTTTAGATTGACCAAGAACAAGGCATTGGAAGAAGCAGGACATGTGATAAGGAGGATGATCTCATTGATCGACAATTAACAACGGTCACCATTAGAACAGACCTACTGCAGCCTCTGCAGGACAGATGCTTTCAAGTTCTCCTTTTTCCCACAGACATGTAAGACTGGAATAGATTACCTAACAGCACCATCGATATTGAATCTCTTGACACTTTTATAACCCATACGCTAGAATATATCGAAGAAAGAAAGCTCATTCTTGTCTATGATCATGTCACCCTCAGCACGTCTTCATGGACTGAAAAAAAAGAATGAGAGCGATAGAGTTTAGATAGCTGAAAGGTAATCTCGAGACATCTGGAGAGAATAAGGAGAGAATAAGGAGAGAAAGAAAGTGAGAAAAGAAATTAAAGTGTGAGATTATGAGACATAGAGGTAATGCAAGAAATAAATGTGTATATTTAAATTTCCTATATCGATACTGATGTGTGATTAGTCAAATGCTGTCACATGACCATTGCTACAAGGATGAGAAAGTGTTATATTTTTCAACATGACATAAATTATGTCATACCTCTCAATATAACGCCGTTATAATCCAGAGGTACGCGTAATTTACGTATACCTCAGCACACACTACAAGTTCAAAGCACTACACACCATACACCGCCTCTTTGCACACAAATACACGCATTAATTGCATACTTCTTCTCCCTCGATGATCTTAAATGTTATATTGCCCCTCTAGGCAGTCATATCTGTATAATATCATACTTGTTATAGAAGAAATTTGAGTGAAAGAGAGAGAAAAGGTTTGAAAGAAAAAGACAGATAGGAGGAAAAAGTGAGATAGAATAAGAAAAAGACACATTTAAAGATTAATACAAGAAGAAAGACCTTTGAAGAATACTAGAAGAAGTAATAGATAGATGGAAGATAGGACGCGATGGAAAGGTGAATACTGATAACAATTCAAAACTGTTGACACACACTCACAGACGCAGACGATTTCCGTTTAATTTTGAATTTATTAAATTTCATATACAATTTCAAGATACTTTCAGAAAGTATTATTCTACAGAAAAAAAATGTATTTCATACCTTTGCAACCTTCAAAAAGGTCACTCACTACATAAATGAAACTTCCTCAAAGCCATACACATTCAAACTTAAATAAATAAGAGTTAAATAGAGTTGAAGATGACTACTATTAAAAGAGAAACTCCCAGGGTATCATTTCATCTAAAGTAGACTTATAAAAGTAGACTGAATTATGGAATCGACCGACTTAATAGTACTAAGCCTGTAATGACAGAGTCTGATATTTATTTAAATATCCTGAATCAAATCGTATCCCATAGACAGTAATATACTATCTGTTCAGGGCCAAAAGGGCATTATCTCTGTGTCAAAATGATATGACTTAATGCCCTTCTGGCTCCAAACAGACAAAATAAACATGTATGCAATATACACAAATAAAAATAATGAGCAAGTAATGCTATTCCAAATGTTGAAGGCTAGAGATATACATGTTTATCTACTATTCTCATTAGAGAAGAAGTATTAACGGGACAAATTTAATTGTACACTTGAGAATGTCACCCTATTGTATTATATACATGTATCTTTCGGGACCTGGAAACAGACTCTACAAACCATGTACATGCATCATATTTCTAAACATTTGGTAATACACATGTACATAAACATGTAAATATATGAAATAAGATAAACCGTAGGAAATGAGCCCTGGTTGAAAACATTTCATGGACAAAAAATACATTTGCCACCTCAAGACATCTTTTTCAAATTGCAAACCACAAAATATTTCAAAGAAGCGACATGAACAATGACATGTACCATGATGAAGTTACAAGTTTTATGAATTTATTGACTTTTGATCCATAATTTTGAAGAGTGGAATGGACTTCCCGTAAACATAGTCAGCTGAATACTTATTTTGTACACAACATTCCACGTTGTCACTACCAGCAATGCATGTCCTTCTTTCTTCTTTGCAGCTTTTGTACATGTAAGCAATTTTTTTTTTTTTTTAATTCTATAAAACTTGGATATTGCTTGTGCCTTTTTGGCATACTGTAGCCTTTTTTTTTCAGTTTAAGTTTCCCGTGCAGTATTTGTTAGTTTTATAATCAATATATACAGCAGTTTATGATGTCCCCTGGTTACTATGACGATGGATATCTCTCCACAACCATTGCATGTCCCTGTCAAAGGAATAAAAAAACAGGATGAAATTAAATTAATAATATTTACCGGTAAACTTGGATAGATGGCAATGATAATCCATATTAGGTGAACAAACATGAACATTGTATGTAGCAAATATAGCTGTCCAACTGTTGCATTATACAGTACATGTGAAAGAATAAGTGACATATTTCTTGTAATACTTTCAGGGAACAGTAAACCTGATTTATTGTCAACAAGTATGTTTTTTCTTTTACAAGACCATTTTGTTTCATGGTATGTATATTATCTAAAACACAAAGCTTCCTGGGATTTATGCCCTATCTACAAATTTGTATTGGCACCCATTGTGCATTGCACCAGTCGAGAAGCCTGGTCATCGTATAGTCAGTTTATACTCACATGTCCACCAGCTGCGCAAGCGGCCAGCAAAGCAAACTGACCGTCCTCCTTCTCTAGACGATTGGCCGATGTGGTGGCCAGCCTGACCCCTGTGGCTCCAAAGGGATGACCGATGGACAGTGACCCTCCCCATAGGTTCATCTTATCCATAGGGATAGCTCCAAGCTGAAAGAGACAAGACACATTCCAGTAGTATTAGTTGCCTTTAAATTAAGGTAGTTTTAACGAAAGGTGGTAGCACAAAAAGATGCATCCGGTACGCAAAATACATAACTAGTAATGTTTGGTCATTTCTAATTTATTGCTAGGATATTTTTTACATGACTGAGTAAAGAGTGCTCTGATTGGCTATCATTGTTCTGCAGAGTCTGATGGACTTCGAGGCGACACACTTCCTAATTATTTTTTTTAAATCGGCAAACCACTCAATGTGGTCAATTGTCGTGAATGAGCTGAAAGTTCTTTCATGACAAATCTGAATGAAAGTTAAGCTACCATTAAGCCTCATCAAGATAGTAAGCAAATAACTACCGTTTGTGAAGGTGATGGGACAAACTATCACTTCTGAGGCAATCTGGATGTAGCTATCTTTCCGAAGCGAGGCTGAGGAAAGATAGGGTATACATTCTGATCAACGAGGAAGTGATAGTTTGCCATCGCCTGAAACCAAAAGGTGATTATTTGCTTTATATTACACATCTAAAACAATTTAACTACAAAAAGAAAAGGACGTGTATGCATCTACATGAAAGACACCAGGCCCAAATTCACACCAAACAGTTTAACCCACCCCCCTTCAGGGTACGGTGCGCGCATGTGTTTGCTTTAATTGCGCTCATTGGTAATGTGTGCTTAATTACGCCTGTTTTAGTGCGCTTTTTGATAAACTTCAGTGAAAGTGTGTTGCCCTGTGTAGATAGTAGTACTATCTACACAGTGTAACAAACTTTTTGCTTCTCCCATCAATAATGGGCGAACTATCTTTCATCACGTGATTGACTTTTTACCAATTGTAGAGCAAGATTCTTAGTATGTGGAATATAATATAATATAATGTATTTTCCAGCTCCATTTCCTGACAATGTGGTTCCACCTCTGTGGGATAAAATCATAATTTTCAACAAATATGCAGTTTGTGTTCTGGTCATATCTTTGCTTTGTTGGTATGATTGTTTTACTTGATTGCTAAGAGAGCATGTCGTGTATACTTGTAAGTAAGCAACCATGGTGAGCGAGGCTTTAAATCCTATACAAGGGACTTGGTAATGAAAATTAATGCCTAACCAAAGGGCACTAGTGTACCAAACCCAGGACCTCCCAGTTACGAGACCACTGTTCTACCACTGAGCCATTGCACCTCACTCATGCCTCTACATTTAGCTAAGCTACCTAGTGTCTATAAGACATGCTCAGGTGACAATTGCTCTGTGGCCAATTTTAATAGCTGATCAGGGACCTGTTTCATAAAAGTTGTTCTCAATAACAAATGCTAGATTTCTAAGACAAATTTGGTCTCAGCCAATCAAATGCCATGATTTCAGTAGCTTATAACAGTAGCTTGTAACTTGTTATTGATATCAAGTTTGCTCTCAGCCAAACAAATGCCATGATTTCAGTAGCTTATTACAGTTATTGTAGCTTGTTATTGATGACAAGTTTGCTCTCAGCCAATCAAATGCCATGATTTCAGTAGCTTATTACAGTTATTGTAACTTGTTATTGATGACAAGTTTGCTCTCAGCCAATCAGATGCCATGATTTCAGTAGCTTATTACAGTTATTGTAACTTGTTATTGATGACAAGTTTTATGAAACAGGGTCCAGATTCATAACTCCAATATGAGAATAATCTGCTTGATCACACGGAGCTTACTATACAATGGTCCCAATTCACACAATTCTTAGCTCACATAGAAAGAGAGTAAGAATAAGGGAGCAGGCAGTAAGAGAGAGAGAGAGACACACACACACACACACCACACACACACACACACACACACACATAAACTACTGATATAGAAAATGGAAAAGGAGGAGATTTGGCATTTTTTTCCATCCTAACCTTAGCTTTGGATCCTAGGGAGTTCTGGCACCAGTAGTCCGAGTCCAGAGCGGTCATGTTGGCCAGGATCTGACCAGCGAAGGCCTCATGAATCTCAAAGACATCAATGTCACCAAGTGTCAGTCCAGACCGGGCCAGGACCTTGGGGATGGAGTAAGCAGGTCTAGGGTACACACACAGGAAGAGAGAGAGAGATATTACAAATGATTAGATGCTGCTTATAAATATCGGCTTGTATGGTGATGTAGATATACAGTTATAAGCTCAAGAAAGATTACCAACAGTTTTTTCAGGACTACACACACACTCAAGAAAGAAAGATTACAGACAGTCCTTTTCAGGACTCCCCAATAACCCCCTCTCTCTCACATGGTGCAACTGTAAACCTGCTGTATGCAAACAATTAGGTGTACATGTCTTGGCAACTTCCAATAGAATCAAATTGCTACTCGGGGGTTACAAAAGCATTACAAAACTGATCCTACAGACGATTTATAATAATAGTAATAATAATATATTCATTTGTAAAGCACAATAACTATGTGGATATATTCTAATGCGCTGCAAGAACTAGTAAATGCTGTCTTTACATACTACATGAAGAAGTGAGTTTTCAGTCTTGATTTAAAGTTTTCTAGTGAAGGGGCTTGCCTTATTTCTAGTGGTAATCTATCATTTCTATGCACTTATTTATTTTAAAATTATTTAAAAAGTTTACCGGCATTAGCATAGTTCAAGATGATGAATAATATTGATGATTATACAAATATTCTAAAATAAAAGCCTATTGCATACATGCCACATTTGAAAATCAGAAATCTGTACAAATTATGCTATTTTCAAAAAGAGAGGAACAATCCTAACTCTCCTGTTCAATACTACAGACAAATTTGTACAGGAAGAGGAACACCTGCATTAAAATGATAATTATCTTCTCCCAAAAAGAGGAATGTTCCTCTTTAATCTGAACAGTTGGCATGCATGCTATTGACATCCTAAGAACCTTGTCAACCATTTAATTTTGGGTACGTTTTAAAAAAAAATGCCCTTCTAGTTCTCAACAAAGATGAAATGAAATAATTAAATTATTAAGAGAGGTCCCCACCCCCACCCCACCCCCCCCCCCCTCCTCTCCTCCCTTCTAAAAAATGTATTCACCAATCCAGGGGAGAGTTTCACAAAGACTAAGATCGACTGTAAGTTGGACTTAACTTTGGCAGGCTGTTCATGCCACTATTTCCTCTCACCATTATGATCTTTAGATAATATCATTTCCCCCAGTAATGAATTATCAAAACATGTAAATTCTGTAGATTTGTGACCATGATTTGTAAGTCCCTTGAGAGACCAATGCCAGTAAATGGTGAGAGGAAACAGTGGCATGAACGGCATGCCATGGTTAAGTCCAACTTAAAGTCGATCTTAGTCTTTGTGAAACACCCCCTGATCTTCTAGTTTGATACTTACCCCAATAAGAGTTCATCTGTGGGGTCCTGTGCCACATAGACATAGTCCCTCAGGTAAGCCTTGGGTTTGTAGCCCATCGCTAGAGCCTTCTCTTCATGTGAACCCCCCCCCCCCCCTGATCTACTAGTTACTTACCCCAATAAGAGTTCATCCTTAGGGTCCTGTGCCACATAGACATAGTCCCTCAGGTAGGCCTTGGGTTTGTAGCCCATCGCTAGAGCCTTCTCTTCATGTGAAACACCCCCCCCCCCCCCCCCGATCTACTAGTTTGATACTTACCCCAATAAGAGTTCATCCTTAGGGTCCTGTGCCACATAGACATAGTCCCTCAGGTAGGCCTTGGGTTTGTAGCCCATCGCTAGAGCCTTCTCTTCATGTGAAACCCCCCCCCCCCCCCCCCCCCCCCGATCTACTAGTTACTTACCCCAATAAGAGTTCATCCTTAGGGTCCTGTGCCACATAGACATAGTCCCTCAGGTACGCCTTGGGTTAGTAGCCCATCGCTAGAGCCTTCTCTTCATGTGAACCCCCCCCCCCCCCCCCCCCCCCCCCCCGATCTACTAGTAACTTACCCCAATAAGAGTTCATCCTTAGGGTCCTGTGCCACATAGACATAGTCCCTCAGGTAAGCCTTGGGTTTGTAGCCCATCGCTAGAGCCTTCTCTTCATGTGAAACACCCCCCCCCCCCCTGATCTACTAGTTACTTACCCCAATAAGAGTTCATCCGTGGGGTCCTGTGCCACATAGACATAGTCCCTCAGGTAGGCCTTGGGTTTGTAGCCCATCGCTAGAGCCTTCTCTTCATGTGAAACACCCCCCCCCCCCCCCCCCCCCCCGATCTACTAGTTACTTACCCCAATAAAGTTCATCCTTAGGGTCCTGTGCCACATACACATAGTCCCTCAGGTAAGCCTTGGGTTTGTAGCCCATCGCTAGAGCCTTCTCTTCATGTGAAACACCCCCCCCCCCCCCCCCCCCCGATCTACTAGTTACTCACCCCAATAAGAGTTCATCCTTAGGGTCCTGTGCCACATAGACATAGTCCCTCAGGTAGGCCTTGGGTTTGTAGCCCCCCCCCCCATCGCTAGAGCCTTCTCTTCATGTGAAACCCCCCCCCCCCCCCCCCCCCCCCCCGATCTACTAGTTTACTTACCCCAATAAGAGTTCATCCTTAGGGTCCTGTGCCACATAGACATAGTCCCTCAGGTAAGCCTTGGGTTTGTAGCCCATCGCTAGAGCCTTCTCTTCATGTGAACCCCCCCCCCCCCCTAATCTACTAGTTACTTACCCCAATAAGAGTTCATCTGTGGGGTCCTGTGCTACACAGACATAGTCCCTCAGGTAGGCCTTGGGTTTGTAGCCCATCGCTAGAGCCTTCTCTTCATGTGAAACACACCCCCCCCCCCCCCTGATCTACTAGTTACTTACCCCAATAAAAGTTCATCTGTGGGGTCCTGTGCCACATAGACATAGTCCCTCAGGTAAGCCTTGGGTTTGTAGCCCATCGCTAGAGCCTTCTCTTCAGTCATTATCAGGCAGGCTGATGCCCCATCACTCTGTTATTAAAAAATTAAAAAATTGAAATGAAAAAAGTTGTGTTGGTAACGAATAGGTAAACACTGTCAAAATATACACATAACCTTCACATGATCACATTGGTATCTAAATGTTAACAATAATTCCATTAATGAATCTATTGATTTTCAATTTAATGTTAACTGATTGCAAAAAATAAAATGCAAAGAAATGCAAGAACATGTCTAAACCTACACCTTTCATTCTTAACTGAGGGGATGTGGTAACTGAGGTTTAATGCCTAGATGTAGAGGTGTCACTGTGGTCCAGTAGCACTTGACTTGGGTTCGATCCCTGACACAGCACTAATGTCTTTTGGGAAGGCATTAATCTACATTTGCCACTCAAAACCCAGGAGAGAAATGGTGACCTGGTAGAATGACGACAGCATTTGTGTTAGTAATTGCCATATGCCCTCACTGTGACCATATGGTAGGAATACTCCCCAGGGAGTGAAGGTGGTGCACATTGTGCGTGAATGAATCCGATGACCGGGTAATAATATCTGTAAAGCATTTAGAGACGGTATTTTGTATCAAGCACTTAATACATCCAGATTAGTATTATTACATGAATAATGAAAATTCACATCTTCTAAAGGTCCTAAGAACAAGAGTCGCCTGTGGCAAAATGCCTCTCTCGGCTGCAGCACCCTCTCTGTGGAACAAGTTACCTTTGGCGTTGAGAACTACAGTACAACATTATGAGAAAGTTTCCAATCCAGAATGAAATTTATCCTTTTCTCAGCAATGCTCAATACAAGAATGTAGTACTCATCGTAATCTATCTCTATTTCACCTAGTGCACTTTGGAATAGAAGTTCTTGATAATAATGATAGTAATATGTCTTGTCTACCCAGGGTCCTCTCATCAGTATTCATACTGTTTTCCCTGAGGGCCCTGCAATCATATCATTACCCAGACTTTAGCTGTGCTACCATGAAAAGGTACTCCAGCAATTCAAGGGATTTCTTCCCAACGGGTACCCGTTTACCTCTACTGGGTGGAGTGTGGCAAATGTAGATTAATATCTTGCCAAAGGAAACATGTGATCCACAGTCCGGTGAAGTATCCACTAGATCAGCACCTCTACTGATAGATGGCACAATATCCAATCCAATCCAATCCAATCCAATCCAGGTATTTATAAAGTGCTCACATCTAATTGCCTACTCAAAGACGTTGATGACACTGAAAAACTACCCAAAATGTCTGTTCGTGATTCTAACTGGGAAAGACAAAAGAGCAGTGACTAATTTGTAAGCAATCTGAAATAGGTATGTCTTTAGTTGAGTTCTGAAGGTGGATAACTGGTGACAAGATCGAAAGATTTGGGGAAGACTATTCCACAATCTCGATGAACAGGCAGTAAATGATTGATCTCCTAGAAGAGAGCGTGTTCGAGGACTCTCAAGCAGGTATTTACAATACATATGTCTATTACAGTATTTGACTCACCAGGAAGGAAGCATTGGCAGCAGTGATGGTTCCATGAGGCTTGATGAACGCTGGTTTGAGTCGTGCCATCTGGGCCTCGTTGGACACCCTGATCCCGTTGTCTGACTCTACGGCCTTGCCGGTCTTAGGAACGATGTAGGTCAACCGGTCGGTCAAGAGACCCTCCTTGGTGGCCTTGTCGGCCAGGGCATGGGAACGTCTGCTGTAATCATCCTGTGATTGGAGGAGATGGGTCATTACTGGTTTGAAATGAATTTAAAGAGAAGGTTGAGTTCTGGAAAGAGGTGAATCATAATTTGTGAGCGTTATTATTGTTATTATGCAAGTGTGGAAGAACATCAGATAAGACATGTTCCCTGAAAAGCATGGCTCTTCAAATGCCTTAATATTCTAAATATGGCATGAAACGGCACAACAATCAGGACAGATTTTTATGCCACATGTTCGTGTAGTCCCATACACATATTTCTGTGTGCAGTGCTAGTAACTTTAGCAAGACTAGGCCAATTTTCTTATCATTTTGATGATTCCAGAACCTTGCAGTACAAACCAATACTTAAGCTAGATGATCACCCTTTTCTGATCGATTTCACACCATTTCTTTCACAATGCAATTAACCCCCAGTTAACGTAGGGTTAACGGTTATATAGCTACATGTATACAGGTGTATATCCAACAATGTAAATGACTGTGTACTTGCTCTTTTGCAAACAATCATTCTGCATTTCAGGGAAAAAAAATTATTTCTTTTTCGGAGGCTACATTTCAAGCTTGCCTGCATGAAAATAACATTCTAAAATTTGTTTTGCATTGAACTCTATGCAAATTTACAGGGCTCTTTTCTGATTTTTGGGGGCTCTTTTGGGTAATTTGGGGGCTATTTTGCCCGAGCCCCGTGTATTTTTTTCACTGCTTCATTGTTTGGTTTGGCTCAATAACTTTTGATTCAAAGCCCTAAATAATATGCCAGATGCACAAGTAGAAAGGGCAAACATTTCTGCACATACTGCATGCATTTTTGTTTCATGACTATAATGCATTTGATGCCAGGAATATTAAATAGGAAAATAATTTTAAAATGTTACAATAACTGATATTTTAAGCTACTAAAATTGTGGTATTTGATTTGCTACGAGCAAATTTGTCACAGAAATTTAGCATCTGTTAATGTCTTTAATATTGATAACAAGTTTTATGAAAGAGGGCTCTGGTCCTTAGTAAGATTATAAGAGGATGATGTGGATCCTAATCAAATGATTGGTTGAAAAGGTACATGTGACCAGGCATCTACTAACGCGTAATTTGGATAATGTCCGATCATTATCCAAATGGTAATGACCTGTCATTATCAAAATGAATTAATAAAACATCATTTTTTAAAACAAATAAAACATAATCTTATAAAACAAATTATACACAGCATTTTGTTTGGGCATTAGTCAAATTAACCACACTCTGTACCTTCAAAACAGTCTAAACGGTTTCAAAGGCACCTCGTGTGGGTAATTCTTACTAATGCCCTCACTGATGTGTATTATTTGTATACTAATGCAGGAGTTCACCTGATCTTGTCTGCTGATTCCAAAAGCAGCTGCAAGTCTATCGGCTGAATGGCCCATAGTCTCATTTGAGGAGAACTCGGCTACTGCAGGGAGCTGCATAGGAAAAACAATACAATACAATAAATGATAACAAGTTAGTCAATGATAATGATAGTATAAACATCTAGCACCCTACTATATTCATCATAAGAGTGCGTACTGTATGTACACATGAAAGAAACTTGTTTCAATTCAATTTTATTTCACCAAAGCAATTGAAAAATAACACACACACACATATAAAAATTATACATTGTTACATAAAAAGAAAACAGAATAGAAAATACATTGGTACAACAATATGAAAGTTGCTTAGTAGATAGCAGCCAGGAAGGAAGTGACCATTATTAGAAGGCCTATCTAAAGAAGATCATGTAATTCAAAGATAATTGTAATTGTCTCCCTTGAATGGTCCTTGGGTAGTATAGGCAGGTGGTCTTTATGTACAGGTTCCTTTAGTACATGTTTCAATGAAAAACCATGTTTAAGGGAAGCAAACAAATGTGGTCTTTGTAGACAGGTGGTCACTAAAGCAGGATTGACTGTATCAAACTTAAGAGGACGTGAAAATTATCTACAGTGTATAGAGTGTATAGACTGTAACAGAACATTGAGTAGAAACAGTAACAAAACTCAAAAGAGAAATTGCATACGACATATTTCCGACTATATGGGTACTATATTGCAAATGTTATGCCTATATTTCTTCAACCAAATTTGTTATATTTGTCCTTTAAAGCACATCTGTAATAGTTTCGCTAGAAGGGATTAGACCACCCAGAAAGGTCACAGACAGGTGGCTATCTCATCAACTCAGCTCTCAATTAACATAAGGAAAAGAGGATCATAGGGGACCAATGGTCACCAATTAGGCATTGTTTTCTATATAGAGAAAGGAAGTAGCTACAAGTAGTACAGTGGGCCTTTAAGTCTTGCCTGAGAATTGACTCGACACATACATGTACATAACATAGAATTTCCATAGTTCATGCGCATGGGGAGGGAAGGAGCATAAGAAAAGCAGGGAATAAGAGTCCTGGCACCGTTCATTCGAAGCAAGATTCAGACTTTGTCTTCAGTAATACTTTTCTAGTCCTTACCTCTGGATTAAGTGCAGCCATGCTGAGATGTCTTGATGCAAGGCTCATCTTGGCTCCCAAGCTCTTTGCCTAGGTGACACAAAAATCCAATTCAATGTCACTTGATGCACTTTGTTATAACATATACATGTATCACATAGAGGTGTTTTGGTCTAGTGGATAAGTCACCAGACTGCAGATCGCAAGGTACAGGGTTCAAATCCCGACACGTCACTAATGACCTTTGGGACTTGGTAGGATGACGAAAGCCTTTGCGTGGGTAATTGCCATATGCATGTACATGCCCTCAAGGTGAACATATTTTAGGAATACATGTACTAACAGGGAGTGGAGATGGTTCACAATGTGCGTAATAGTAATTGTAAGGGGCTTATAGAAAGTATTTTGTATTAAGCGCTCTATAAATCCAGATCATTATTATTATTATTTTCAACATATCTTTTTAAATTACTAGTACACGAAGTGGTTACCATAACAACAGGACAAACAACATTAGGAATTTGGTTGCTTACCTTGCCTAGGTTCAACATGAACTTTCTGGCTTGACGGCTATGCCTGATTGGTGCATCTGACATGAAATCCACACCTCCGGCCAAGATGGTCTCCGCTTGACCTGATGCTAACATACCCATACCTGTAAAGGGTAGAGTAGGGGGTCATTAAATCAAAAAATTTGATTTTTGTATGTGGTTTTTTTTCTTCCATATCTTTTCCCTAAAGGGCAATTTTTAGTTGTATAATAAACACAAAAATTCACATTTACATTTTATACAACCAATATCAAAACAATATTTGTATACATCATTCAAGTACATGCTTCAACATAAGCCATCTTAAATATTTCTTCTCCATTTATATCATTTATGTACCGATGTTGATGATGGTGTGATTATGACTGATTTGGTTAAGAGTTAAGAAGTTAAAAGTTAGGCACAGTCATTTTGTTTGGCTTTCTATATAAAGGGGATGCTTGACATTCTCTTACTTGCTCTTCATAACTATGATTATCATCAATATTGTTGACATAATCATAATAACCATTATGTTTATCATCATCCTCCTCATTATCACCATCAACATCCTCATCATCATCCTAATTGTCATCACCATCATCATCATCCTAATTGTCATCACCATCATCATAATTATTATCATCATTATCATCACCACCACCACCTTCAAAATTGTCATTATCATCACCCTTATTACCTTCATCATCGTGATCCTAATCATCATCCTAATTGTCATCACCATCATCATCACCTCCACCACTACCATCAAAATCATCATCATCATCATCACCATCCAAATTATCATAATCATCATCAACATCATCACTACCACCACCTTCAAAATCATCATCAACATCATCACTACCACCACCTTCAAAATCATCATTATTATCATCACTTTCATAACCATCATCCTCCTCATCATCCTAATCACCATCATCATCCAAATTATCATAGTCATCATCAACATCATCACTACCACCACCTTCAAAATCATCATCAACATCATCACTACCACCACCTTCAAAATCATCATTATTATCATCACTTTCATAACCATCATCCTCCTCATCATCCTAATCACCATCATCATCCAAATTATCATAGTCATCATCAACATCATCACTACCACCACCTTCATAATCATCATCAACATCATCACTACCACCACCTTCAAAATCATCAATATTATCATCACTTTCATAACCATCATCATCATCATCATCATCATCATCATCATCATCATAATCATCATCATCATCATCATCGTTATCATCATCATCATCATCATCATCGTTATCATCATCATCATCATAATTATCATCACCATTATAAGCATCATCATCACCACCACCACCACCTTCAAAATTGTCATTATCATCAACCTTATTATCCTCATCATCCTAATCACCATCATCATCCAAAGCATCATAATCATCCAAAGCATCATAATCATCATCAACATCATCACTACCACCACCTTCAAAATCATCATCAACATCACTTTCATCACCCCCATCTCCCCTTTATTACTCACCTGTTGTGATAGCTACGTTGGATGAGATGCACGCCATGGTAACCGTGTGAGCTGGGATGCGATCTGAAAATCCTGCTTCCAGAGCAGCCTATGTGTAGAGTTTCATTGGTAAAAAGAAATTGAACATGTATATTATAAATTGTACAAATCACCTAAATAAAATAATTTGTGTACAGCTAGAAGGTATAAAATCAAACTACCAGTAAAATCAACCTAAAAAAAAGTATAGCATAAAGCCGTGCACACGAAGCCTAAGTCAGACTTTGGTTCTGAGCGGGCCTTTTTCTAGAACTCTTAACATAGAGAGAACAAAATTCTGCATGGCATATTAAAGCCATTATTTATGTAAATTTCACAAATGATTGTAGGGTTACGGATTAAACAACAAGCAAAACAAAGAGCTGAGACTGTATGGCAGACATTCATCGTAATGGAAATAATCTGTGAAAGTACCTGTATGCGGAAATATCCACTCCTATGGTACGTGTATATCTTTACATGTTTTTTCCAACATAGTGAAGAAGAAATATTTGTATCAATATTTTAAATAGAATTTGAACACATTAGTAAAGCGGTATATCTGCATAAGATATTATTTTTAAAGATTACCTCTCTTGCGATGTTACTTGTTTTTACTTCTTGAATGACGGTACCCACAACGATGTGATCAATAGCATCTGTGAAAACAAAAAACAAAAAATACTCATCAATGATACACAATTTTTGATTTCGGTTATCAATAAAATTTTAAAAACATTTTAAAAACCCAGAGATGTCCAGACATTCTTTATAGTTACAATCAAGTAGGGACACTGATTTTCCATTTCAAAAAATGGCCTTTTCCGTTTCAGAAAATCTGGAATTCCGTTTCAGATGGGCTGAAAAACGGAAATTCCGTTTTACCATAGACTTTGTACACATGAAAAAACTAAAATTCCGTTTACATAAGATTTTCATTAAAACAGCATGAACTTGTAGGGTACAAATGTTCTATCAAAGCCGCCACCTTTGACAAGCCACTGATAACCACTCAAAAACATACGGACGGAACTGGATAAACTTGATGCAAAATACTAGTGAAAATATAGACCCCTTCTATGGGCCCTAGAGTCTAGGCTAGACCTACGAAAAATTATCTAAATGTTTAAATTTACCAACTTCAAATTCGAACTTAGAAAAGCAGACTAAAATCAGCGGAATATGTCAGAACACGACATATTCCTGACGGAAAGGATGAGTACCGACGTCAACGAAAACATTTCAGTCTTGGCTGTCATGTCCGCGATCGATCGATTTTAGGCGCACATGCCAGCCCCTTTTTCGAACTCGCCGCACATAGCGCCCGCTGCTGGCGTGTGTGTGTGCCTAGTATTACGTCTACGTAATACACCAGTTTACAGTTGTATCAGTGCGCATGCGCAGACAGAGGTCAGAGGTTATTGGCCCAAAAATTTGGGCCAATAACCTCTGACCTCTGGTATTTATGCGTAAATTAAGATTGCGCCCATGCAAATGATGATATGCGCGCACAACGCAGCGCGCAGGCAGTTATATCATCATAATTTGCATGGGCGCAATCTTAATTTACGCATAAATACATGACCTCTAGGTCATTGGCCTTGTTTAAAATGGCGCACACAACTGTAAACTGGTGTATACTAGGTGCCTAGCTGGCATAATAGGATCGTTTCGCTGCTATTTGTACCGTGTTTTGTGTCACAATCTCTATTGGTCCAGCGAAACAAAATGGCAGCGCCCGGTCTCCTAAGAATCTGTCGAATATCGCTAAATATTTGTAATTATTAACCATGATTTGAGGCCATATATATTTTTACTGCATAACGAGTCACAAAAATAGTGTAAGTTTTACGATTTTCTTCTTGAAAAATGAAAAGTTTTGAGATAAAAGGGGTTTTCCGCGATTTTCCGTTCGAAATTGCATTTTCCGTTTCAAATGGTCAATTCCGTGAATTCCGTCCGTTTTCCGTGATCGCGGAAAATCAGTGTCCCTAATCAAGTTTCACTTTTCAAATAAAAATACCATCTTGCACACATGGATAGGAGTATTTGTTTCCATTCACTTTAAGATTCATGATAAAAAAAAATTGATTTCTTCTGATATGGTCATTGTGTACACTACAAGTACCGGTATGTCAAAGTAATATTGCACTGGAATAAATATACATATATCTAAGCCAACAATCCGTGTATATTTATGATCTCATTTTCCAATGTTGTTAAACCTGTTCAGAGAGCTCCCATGATCTTTGCAATCATATTTTTTTCAGAAAGTCTACCTCTCTACTCCCTAGGCATTTTTTCTCACCTAATGAAGGCCTTTAAACACAGGTTTGAATTGAGATATTATGCATGTACATACATAATACTATTTCTTTTTATTAAAGATAAAGACCAGTATTGGAAACGCCCCAATTTCAGAAAAATAAAATGGAAGTACTCATTACCAATCATGTGAAAGAATATGTTTTGACTAATACATGATGATAACAAATTTGCCGGGAAACCGCCTACTAATTGATATATTTGGTAAATGATTATATCTATTTGACTGTGAGAGATATAGGGTAGTCCCATATACATCTTTCTGTGTATAGTGCTTGTAACTTTAGGAAGAATGGGCCAAATTTCTTATCATTTTGATGATTCTAGAACCTTGCAGATGCTAGATGCTAGATGATCAACCTTTTCTGATCGATTCCACAACGTTTCTTTCACAATGCAATCGCATGACCATAACTGGTCTTTACCTTTAAGATGAAATAAAGTCATATTTTACTTTCTGTCTGTTTGGAGCCAGACTGTTTGCATTAAGTCAAATAATTTCACACAGAGTTATCAACCTTCTTGAGCCCTCCAAACAGGGGGTGTTTCACAAAACTTGTCATCAGTGACAAATGACATTTGTTGTTATAAGCTACTGAAATCCTTGCTTCTGATTGGTTATCAGCAGACTTGTCACTGATATTTGTCATTTGTCATTGAGAAAAAGCTTTGTGAAATGGGTCCCAGATGATTCACTTTGAGAATGTGTCTTACCTTTTGGAATTGAAGTCTTTTCTAGGAGGCCTCTGAAATCAGAAACAAAGACCAATCAAAGAAAATTTAGTGAATAATAAATGTTCAAAAACATGAGAAAGAGATAACAAGAGAAGAAGAGAGAGAAAGAAAAGAGATTGAAAGAAAGAGAGCACATCAAGTGCCAGTGACAGATCTAAATTGTAAGATAAAGAATAGAAAGCACTATAAAATTATTACATGAGCAAAATACTTCAAACAGGAGACAAGGTGAAATAAATAAAGAGGAGTAGGAGGAGAAAAATGGAAAAAAAATACAAAGGAGGGAAAAAATTCAAGAGTCCCAGTGGTGCTAAGCAAAACAAATCCTGAGAGAGTAATGATAATGGTTCATGTATTAAAACGCATGTATCTCAGCATTATCAGGCTATACATGTTGTTTATTATAAACAACATTATATATACTTACTTCATTGCTTCTCTTTGTAAGTCATGCGGCATAAGATCTTTGAATCTGCAAAGGGGTAAAAAGAGATGAAATAAATCAAATAGAAACCCCAAGAAAAGGAAAATGTGGCTTGAAGAAAGAAAAAATAGAAACTATATTCTTCTTGCATAATCAACACTTTTCTTTCTGTTTGGTACTTCCTACACTCCTACACGTGTACCTTTTCTTTAATGGTCATTACCTGTACTTCTTTATATCAAACATCTTCATACCAGATCAGAGAAAAATATGAAAAAAATGTCCTCATAAAAATAGTTTGCAACATGCAATAATTATGACCAAATGGTTCTTTTGTCTAGGACCATACAGAAAATCCAAATAGAAGTATTGCCCAGCAGGAAAACTTGTACATGTATATTAGATTTATTGAAGGAAAACATATACAAATATCAATAAATATATATATTTTTTTTAATATTAAAAAAACTTACTCGGTCCCAGACATAAGGAATGGTGTTCTGACCCCCTCAACCAGAACAATGTTTTTAACATTCTGTTTGGCAAGGGACTTCTTGGTTTTGGCCGCCTCATGTCTGCAGCTTGTACTGAGAGCTCTGGCACCATCTAAACAAGGGGGGGGGGGGGGGAGAGAGAAGGTAGACAAAGAGAAACATTAGAGAGATGCGTTTGATGATATTTCTCCACAGAGGGGCTGAGGGATGGAATCTTGATGGAAAGAAAGGGAGAGAGACAGGGCTATTGACGATCAAGATTGAGAGAGAGAGAGAGAAAGAGAGAGAGAGAGAGAGAGAGAGAGGGGGAGGGAAACAAGAGAGAGAGAGAGAGTGAGTGAGTGATTAAAAGAGGGAGAGAGAGAGAAGAGATAATATTAGAGAGACACAGAGAGAGAGAGAGAGAGAGACGGAGAGAAAGAGAGAGGATGAAAAGGACATTCCGGTAGATATGTTCTGTGTACAATGTAGGAGGGCAAAAGAATAAAAGGCAGGTAAGTGAAGAAAATGGGAAGGAGTCAGAGATACCAAAATATACCTTTAATTGCATGCAATTCAAAAGAAATAATCAATACATAATATTATATTGAAAGCCTTATTATTTCACACATGAACATGAGCAAAACCTACTATAATGCAATAATCATTTGGGTTACATTTTCTTAGAATTAGTATTTCATATATATATCTGTTCAACCGAGCAACTTATATTCATAAATCTAAAGATGTATTTTCCCACATGACACACTTGAACTATTCTACAAGGTTTGCCCAGTCAAAACCATGTTCAAGTCAGTCATGAGACCCCCTCCCCCTTCCCCTTCACAGAGCAGGTACCTGTAATTCGAATTAGAGACACGTTTAACCCCCCTGTGCGATGACACATTTGGGGGAGGTCATAGGGGTACTTCCTGTTGCTTCCTGGTACTACTACACAAAGTACAGGTACATGATTCAACTCTCAAGGTGACCTTCACAGAAAGTTTGCTGAACGTAATTTGTACAGTGAGTCTGCATGGACTATTCATTGACTACAAGTGTTGCATTTGAGAGATACATTACTGCATGCAAAAAAATACTGTGTACATTTTAGAGTGGTAGAGACCTCTCCTCCCTAGGTAGTAGTACGAGCCTTCCTTGTTTTGGTTCTTGCAATTTACATTGTTGCAGTTTGGATGTCTGTATGCATACAAATCTGAAGTACTACTACTAGTACTAGCGATAGTTAACGCCATACATTTATTCGGGAGAGAAGGAATTCCTATAATGTAGCTTCCCTTTACCTCCCTTTTCCAGCCAACCACCTCTTTGACAGACGTAATTATTTGATATTTGAGCCTGCTCAGGCCTTTACGTCATTTTTAGTTTGGAGTCCCTTATTATTATTACAGAGTTATTACCTTTACCTTTACCCGAGATTCTGGAAGAATGCTGTGTTCACAGCAGTCCTGCTTCCATTTTAATTGTTGTGTATCAAAACATTATAATGAAATAGTAAAGAATCAAGTAGAAGAAAATAAAATGTAGAGGCTGACAGCCTGCTGTATACTGATTAATCACTTTATCTACCAGTTACAAAATTAGAAGGAACATGGAGCAACTGATCTCTGGAAAGCTTTAAAAAAAAGCTCTAAAACAGAAATAAATTAGTATAGTATTAATGACTGCTTTGAGAGAAATAGTTGTTTTATTACGCTCAAGGGAAGGTTAGAATTGTGCTATTCCCCGAGGCTTGCCGAGGGGAATAGCCCAATTGTAACCTTCCCGAGAGCGTATGAAAACAACTATTTCTCGAATATTAAAGCAGTCATTAATACTTTTATATGCCAAAAAAAAATAGACTAAAAAATAAAAAATAAAAAATAATTTACATTTTTGTCGAAGACAGGATTCGAACTCTTGCGTACAACAAGAGGTGTATCGAAAACCAACGCTTAGACCACTCGGCTATCGCGCGCCGTTAACATGCTTGGCAGTTTTCTCCAATATATACATTAAAATGGATTGAAAACGGCTCCGCGTGAGGGATGCTTCGCAAAAGCTCCATGAAACGGACCCTTCTTTTACTTTTGCAATGCATATTGGCACGAACTTAGATCAAGATCTATCGGCAGATGTTGTTTTTTTGTTTTTGAGAGTTAATTTTCGTCTTCATGTCAACAATGCAAGATAAAATTGTCGGTAAGATCGATCGAGATTCAATTGTATTGAAATTGCCGACCAATTTTTCGCACACGTATGGTATCCTCCATCGCTCAAACCATTTTTTAACATGTAAACCTATGGGGTAACCATGGAGACTGCCCTATTTTTTTAATAACCATGGTTATTAAAAATATTGAAATGTTTTAAGCATGGTAACCGGGAATTTTACAGGAACAGTTGAAGTTTATGAATGCAATTCGACCAATCAGATGGCTGGATTTCTTAAGTGAGGTATATAAAAATAAATAATGAATAAAATACTTTAAAATAACTGCGATGAAATTTTATTCTAACTATTAAAGCAAATCCAAAAACAGCCACAGGAAACAAAATTGTGTTTTGAAGAATACTGTTATCTTCAGATAAACAGGGCCATGACTTTATAGAGGCATGTACATGTATGTGGATCAATGCTACATATCTTTGTCTACATGTACATAGTGACCTTTGACAAATTGATTTCTATAATATTATCATTGGATATGAATCTCATTGAACTTTGCACTCTCTATCACTGTTCAGACTTAGAGATGATGACTCTTCTGTTTTTAGGGAGTTCTGACACAACATACTCAGGCAACGATTGTACCACAGTTAATTTTGTAAACTTAAACTAAACCCTAACCACGTTTGAACTTTGCAGACTCAAACCCTTGTCAGTCGGGTCTGAGCTAGGAGACTATATCCAGACCTAATGTAGCTACAGGCCCTGTACTGTCTTATAGCCAGGGAAAAAAATATTTAAAACATTTCGGGGGCTACTTTTCAAGCTTGCATGAAAAAAAACACTCTTCAATTTGTTTTGCATTGAACTCTATGCAAATTTTTTTTTGCTCTTTTATGACTTTCGGGGGCTAATTTGCCCCGAGTCTCCGTGTAATTTTTTCCTTGCTTGAAGCTGCTCTTGACACAGCCCAAAAAATGACAGAGCTACAATGTAGGCTCTGCTCAAGGCTTTAGGTATTGTGGTAGAGCGTCAACTTATGTAGAGTCTGTGCTTAAAGCCTAACAGTGAATCTGACCTGAACCCCTTGCTACACGAACCCTAACTGTATAAATGTAGCTGCAATGTCATAAAAACCTGAAACAAGCCAGGCACTTTATATATATGTATCTACTTTATATATATATACACTGTAGCATGATAGTGTCAAAGTTGTTCAGTACATACAAAAGAATGGTGAAATATAATTCATATCCTGGGCCAGGATTTAAATTCCCTTGTAGGACCAGCAGGCATGAAACAAACATACCTGATATTCTGCTCTGGACAGCAAATCTTTACTTTGATTTTAAGAATAATCTTTCTTTATATTCACAAGTGCTTTCCGAATTATTTCAAATGATGATTCAAAGAAGTACACACAGGGAATAATTTTCCTCAAATTTTTTGATTAGCAATTTCAGCCGATGGATAAATATTTCAAATGAAATTCTGTACATTTCTATGGAAGAAAACTGCTACACAAAAGATATTTTGTATAGCAGTCATGCAAAAATGCATAGCAAATTGCGATGCGATACCAGGAAAATTATTCCCTGACACATGTAACATATACATGCAAATAGGCCTACCATGGTACCTATAATTTCTAGTTGGGTAGATATGATTTTATTGTACTGTTTTAATCTTTTAATATTCCTGAGAATGTCTTTGTTTCAAAAGACATCCTCAATACAATTTAACATTGCTGTAAATATTCTACACATAAATAATGCAAATATTCAAAATGTTCAATACTGATACTCTAAACAAGAACTCAATGTAAATTTATATGGTCTTGAGCATTCAGGGGCCGTCACTATGATCACTGTCAAGTTTTTAAAAAATGTAATATTTTTTTCTTCCTTGTCTTTTATACTAATCTATTTTAATGCTACGTACTATTTGAGCTTGACAAATAAAATAAAATCACATCAAATCAAACCATATCAAATTAATCAAACCAAATCAAGGGTTATTTTATTTTTAGGAAGCTTGTTCTAAGCAATGTTTTAATTTCAATGAGTTTAAATGGATATGATATATTGTATTGTTTGTCAAAGCAAAGCATTGCTTTACATTTACAGTAATTGTGTAGTGTTGCAGTCTCAGGTACTATGTCCCATTTGCAAGCCCCAAAAATGAAAAGGTTAAATTCCAACGGCATTTGGAAGATAATACTAATTTAGAACTTCCCTTAAAAAAAGGGGGGGGGGGGGCTTGAAAATGTCTTAACGTGGGAAAATAACAACTATTAGTTGTTGAATCGACTTAGGAGCTATAGAGCCAAGATGTAATAGTCTGATTTTCAGACCATTGTACTGAATGGTAGCACGTTTTATGCTGCACAAAGATTCAATCAGTTTAATTTTGGCCATTGATGTACATTTAGACACGCCATGCATACAATAGAGTACCGAAGTGCTCATAAATGCAGACAAAATGCGTCCTCAAAAATAAGGATCTTATGCATTTTCGCGGACGTTTTTTTTCATCGGCGCACTGCGGGTTTCGGGTTACCGAACCGCCCAATGGCGATGCCAAAAATAGATTCCCCGGGGAAAAATAACCCTAAGTCACCGTCTCCTTTAATGGGTTGTCCGTCTTCCCATGGATTTATTGGTCATGATGTGAGGGTCTCTGTATAAAGTCAATGCAAAATGCATCAAGAGATTCATCACAGAATCTGTTTTTGTATCGCCAATGCAATGCGGCGATCTAAAATATGAAACGTCTGCGAAAATGCACACGATCAGTATTTTTGAGGACGCATCGGTCCTCGTTTATGAAGACGATCCTTGGCTTAGATCTAGGTCTAGACCCCTGTTCGGAGACGCAAAGATCAGCAATGCGTGACAATTTCATGACTCGGTGCGCAAGCGCACGGGCGAGGGTATAACACACTATTAGGTAGATCTATAGCGTTTTTTCTAAATCTAGTGCGCATGTCGTGCATGAGAACATTTTCAGACCCTCGAAATGCGCGACACGTGGTAGCGCTCTGCTTATTCTCGGGCCAGCGCCGCACCCTGGCCCCTACTTACTTATGGAGTTAGTCTCTCTTCATTCATGCTCTTTCAGCTAAGATTAGACTCTGTTATCATAAAGTTCAAAGCTACATAGATCTATAGGCCTAGTATGTGAAGTTTGATCTTTTGAATTTGAATTTAATACAAGTTTGAGAGAATCACATCACATTCAATCTTCACTGACATTGAGTTGACATTCACATTCACAGACTTCATCATTTCGTCAGTTAATTTTATGTAGACTATGAGAAAATGAGACATGAACAGTTGAACTAGAAATTAAGCTGAACTCACTGAAAGCAAAATGGTTCCCAGGAGAAGATAGAAGGCTAGAGATTCGAACAGAATTCAGCATAAAAGAAGCCATGATTACTCTTTAATTTATGTTGGTGTCCCTCAGTCACAGTGCTAGTGCAGGGCTATTTAGCCGGGTACGTTTTATGTAGCTAGCTAGCTAGCTCTGTGGTATTATTACGTCAATACACATGCACCCACACGAAGTTAGGCTACTATTAATGCGCCAGATATTTTTTGAACAAAAAGTATACGATTATTTTTCATTATTGTCTTTAAAAATATATTATTAAAATTAAAATGCAATATTTTTAATTATTTTATAATAATATGATAAAGGAAATATCAAAAATTATACAATTTTATTAAATTAGGTAAAATATCCAATGATATATAAAATACAAAGTTGTAATACAAGGCTATTAAGGTAAAGGCAAATTTCTTGTTACCAATTTAGAGTTTATTTCACTATTTAAAGTATAATTAATTCAGTATTAAACAGTAAAAAATAATTTTTAAAATTATTATTATGAATTTAACATTTTTATTAATGTGAATTAATTATTTGTATGTTTTTAATGGAAACAACTGCAATTTAAGTCATTAACTCTATCGGAAAAATAAATTGGCAATACCGGTTTCGGAGGAAAATTGTTACGAAAAAGTACAAGGGCACCTTGAAAGATTCTGGCCATGGCTTCTGTGCGATCACTTGGCGCTCTCAGAGCTTTATCTTGGGCAAAATACTCGTCTTTGAGAGGTAAAAATAGAAAAGAAGTAATGTTATAGTATCATATTTTTGTTACCATGTAATCCAGTATTATGAAATGTTTCTTTCTTTTGTAGTTTGATTATATTTTCTCGAGGGCGTTGGTGCTTGAGCAGGGATTAACACGAGAATGAGAACTTCGCCTTGGGAGCTTCCCGGCAGTAGCCCGCGCTGCTGGCTAGCGCTAGCAGCCGTAATGTACACGCCTAGGCCTAGAACGTAACTTAGATCTGTATCTGTATCTGTATGATTTGGTCAGCAAAATGTCCTTTCCAGACACATCCACGCTAACGTATTTGTAGACAGAGCACGCTGTGTGTGGGTTGACTCTAATCAAATTAATATTGGGTATGTTTAAGTAAATTGTCTGGGGTGACCAAAGTTCGCGGAGATTTTGAACATATTATTATTAAGAAATGTGATATTATATCTAGACTCTAGAGGTCTATGATATATTTCAATTATTACCAAATGGACGGCAAAGTTTTTTACTACAAATTGGTTCAGCTAGAAAATTTATTGAATATTGTCAAACAGTGGGGGCAGCCTACTACTTCGAATGCGATATACTCGCTGATCTCCGAAAAGCGGAGGGACAACAACAGAGAGAGAGAGGGGGCGCTTGTCCGATCAACTCCGAGAATAAGGATCGTACGCATAAATTATTGGATGCGTAATTGAAGATATCATTGTAATCGGGGACAAATTGCGTCCTATAAATAAGGATCGTCCACATTTACGCCGACGATACCGATTTCCGATTCGCGCGTTGGTGATAAAAAAACGGATTCTGCGTAGAGTAAAGGAGCCGGTAATCGGCCAGCTCCAGTTTTCGGCCGATTGGTTGGATGCAAGGTAAAATCACTCTAAAATACATCGCATAATAGCATAACACATATCCCACACATACCATACCATGCCAGTGTCACTGAAGAACCACATTTGCAATGGAAAATATATCCTAAAATATCACATTTTAGCGATGTAATCGCCGGTCCCGCTACCCAAATCTGAAAAATCGAGTATCTTACGCGTGTCTGTAAGAAATATGGGTACCATAAAATGAGCTTTATTTCAAGTATTTTTCAGATTTAGAGCCCGATTTTGTGCTAGTCGCAAGCTCAAAAGTATCTCATCGCATGTATTAAATCAATGCAGCCGCACACCGCGACGCACACACGATATCTCTGTCTAATTCAGATTCCAACTTCGATCACCGCTGTGCCTGTCTTCGGCCAGGCGAGCACCAGGGAGCTCCGGCGTGGGATACCTGCTCCGCCCGCTTGTGCTGTACATCAGCGCGGAAACGCACGGCGCGCGCGAGCGCTTCCTATTGACTTTGTACATGCGGCCGTAAACTGAAACGCTCGGCCGATAACTGGCTCCAAAACAGTGAAAATTGAAATGAATATTGTCATGGCAATTTGTGATTTTTTTCTGGGATTCTTTTTTTGTTTAAATAATAATAATATTTGCTTCATGATTTGAACAAGAAATGATAATAAATAGGAAGTAAAGAGTCCTAAAAATAGGATTTTGTCTTAAGTGGCCGAAAACGGGCTCCTTTACTCTAATAAAGTAACCCCACTGCCCCAGTTCATCGTCTACTTAAATGGTTTGTCTGTCTTCCCGAGGATTTATTGTTCATAATGTGAAAGTCTCTGTGCAAAGTGAAATGTATCAAGGAGCATCATCGTGGAATCTGTTTTTCGCATCGCCAACATGCGGGTCGGAAATCTATATCGTCGGCGTAAATGCGGACAATCCTTATTTTTTAGGACGCGTCTGTCTGCGTTTACGGAGACAATTTTTGTTTATGTGGACTATCCTAATTCTCGGACCAGTGCCCCTATTACTGTCAAACTACTCAAAGTATTCCGGAAATATCTCAATCTTAAAATTTGATGTCCGATCAGCGTCCACGCTGCAAAACAACAAGACTTTACTTCTCACGGGGGTTAGCAGCTGATAATTTATACAAAAATCGGTCCATCAGAAATAAGGTTATTTCAAAATTTGAAAGGCAAGATATCATACAATCAGATATCAGTTGGTACCACTTCTTAATTACAATTTTGAGGATATCTGCTGTCAAAATGAAGATTTCAAGATCCTTATCTCGTCGGTAATTTAATAATTTTTCAGAACAGACGCAAATGACTGCAAAATTTGCCAATCTTTTTTTAATATTTTCATAATTTCACACCCAATTTCAGAGAAAATTCCATCTCTCTGTATTTTTATGTTCCTCTTTCTATTGGTGATTTTTGAAATTACCCATTTTTTTGAGATGGCGAACAATAGGTCTTGCATGAACTATGGTCACACCACCAATTATATGCATGTCTGGTGTAGGGTGATGGGTGACCATAATTTTGGTCAAAACATGATCATCTGCTTTGTAGGCTTACGGTCTTTCTGGAAAAGTTTTTGAAAAATAATGCGAGTGTCTACTCGTACAGTCAAATTACCTCTTCAGAAAACATGACATTTTTTTGTCCCATCAAAGATTCTACATTTCTACCAACTCGCAAATCCACGGAGTGATGACTATCACGGACGAGATCCCGCCAATTTGTACGGACACAAATGCAAGAAGAAAAAAATGTAACAAAAAATGCAAAATGGCTCCTTGTGTCTGTAGCCTGTAACCGATCATTGAATCAGGGGCCGATCGTTTGTCAATCAGGTGAAATCGGATAATAAATTCTGATCGTCGATCAATAAAAATGATTGGAAACAAAATCAGTAGATTTTTTTTTTTTTTTTAATGCCGAAAATATTCAAGTTTTGGACTTTGAAATTAATAATAATATTGGTCTAAGAGAAGGCACGCATTTATTTTCAATCATTAAAATCCAAGATGGCAGCTCGCATGTTTTGCCTCTATTCTTAGACTAATATTGTCAATTTCAAAGTAATGAAATTGCACAACATATCAACAAACATTATTGATGAAATACTTACTTTTGAAGAGAGAAAGAAGAAAGGTGAAAATGATATTGAGATCCTTCAAACTTAGCCTTACTCATAGATTAGTCTTTGCAATTGCCTTCAAAGAAGCCTTGCAGGCAGGCAGGTTGGCTTGGAAAACACCAGAGGGCCAAACGCTCGGCCGTATACAGGTTCCCTCTTGCCCTTCTAGTTTTAAAAGAGCCTTTGATCAAAATTGAACTTGTTCATTTAGCATTTGAATTACTTTGTGATTTTGTGTTTTATTCTTGATACTTCTTACAATTGCAGGAAGCCTGGGAATGAACACAAAAAGATATTTCTCAGCATCTGGCACATCCCAAGGTAATTTGTGTAGATTATAATAATCATCTGGTATGCTTGTAGTATCTGACATTTCTTATGTAGTATATTTAATAAAAGATTAGAAAGACCTGTTAACTCTATCTAAATAGTTAATATACATGTACTAGGGCAAAATATACCATTCTCAGGCCTGATAAAAACCCGATTTAAATCGGTTTCCCGATTTTTTATATTTTTCCCGATTTTTTACCGATTTTTTTTCTTCTTCCCGATGAAAAAAAAAAAAAAAAAAAATCCAGATTTTTTTTTTTTTTTTACCAGATTTTTTTTCCTTTCCTATTTTCCTGATTCCCCCCTTATTTTCTCTATTCTTCTCTATTTTTGCTCTATTTTTTCCCCAATTTTGTTACTCGAAAGGTGGGAATGTTGTTAGGTGCCATTTTTTCCCCGCGAATCCTCTTCTTTTTTTTTTACTCAAGGGGGGCGTGGTGAGGGAAAAACAAAAAAACCTATTTTTTTCTAGTGTTCACTATCACCCCTGCATTCTGAAGATGGCATATCAAGTAATTTAAGGTAGTGGTCACATAAAAATCTTGATTGATAAAGTCAATCCAAAATTTTGTTCTGTGTAATCTGCAAGATTGATACAGACGATAGTTAAGCATGGAATATTCACAAAAGCATAATTTGTGGCTTCAAAGGATCAAGAATATTTGCATTTTAAAGATGGTGTTGAGACATAAGAGGTATTTTTCATTTTGCTTTTTTCTCCACACTTTTTTTACATCCATTCGCTTTATTAAATAAAGTACAATACATGCCTGTATTTCTAACCATTGCTCGGCAAGATACATGTACATGCACATGTATCTACATGTATTCACATGTCATGCCAGGTTTGTCAGGAAATAGCTAAAGATATTGAACCTTTGATGTTTTATTTATTGTTTTCGTTTCAGCTCGTTCAATAGTAAACTATGAAGTCAAAGAAGATGTGGCCGTTGTTCGGATTAACGACCCTAATGCCAAGGTAATTTCTTTCAGAGTTATCACAGAACCGATAAGCATGGTTATTTTCATGCATTTTCCTCTTGCTTCTCTAGCCCATAGTGAATGAAGTCTTTCTTGTTTTCTTTATACATTATAAAAGAAGAATTGATTGAAACATGAAGGACTTTATGAATAACATGTGGGTACTTCTTCAAGGTGACTACATTTATGTACGTCCAATGTAAAGCAATAAGTATATGTAAATTGAAGATGAAATTCTGCATGGCTTTAACTACAAAATGTCATCTTCAAGAATTGAATTCATCGTGATAGGAAATATCTAAGTGTAAATGTAGGACTATAAATGGGAAGCAGAAATCTATGATATATTTTGAGCTCTTCATTATTCCAGTATGTACTTTTTCAACTGCCCAACTAAATGCATTACAGCTGGAGTATTGATATCAAATAGTGGTACAATACTACAGTGTGTCTTGTTTACTTCACTTGCTTAGAATTTTTAGAAACATAGATCATTCTGGGCAACAAGATGCCCAAATTTTCTCATATATGTATTTAGAGGTGACCGAATTTATGGTTTTATTTCTTACCTAGTGTGAATATATGATCGTTGCCATTTGTCCTGCCTGCTCGCAAAATTTAGGAACAAATGTGCCCATATGTGTGTGTATAACTGGAAATTGTTTTAAAAACTTTGTATTATTGTGTTTGGTTTACAGGTGAATACACTAAACAAGCAGTTCAATGCAGAAATAGAAGATGTCTTTCATGAACTATGGGCCGACGATGGGGTCAAATCAGTGGTGCTTGTGTCATCCAAACCAGGAAACTTCATCGCAGGAGCAGACATAAAGTAAGACTTGTTTATATGAGATGCCTCCGTTATTTAGAATTTGTTGGAAAGGTTGCCAGTTATTGTATGAAAGAGGTGATTTATACAGCAAAAATCTAATACTTTAAAGCCTGTCTGCACTAGTTTGGCCAGGAGGGATTATACCTCCCTACATGGTCACTGACAGGTGGTTATCTCATCAAATCAGCTTTCACTTAATATAAGAAAAGGGGGATCATGGGGGACCAATGGTTCCCGCTAAATAGGCATTGTTTGCTATATAGAGGGAGCAAGTAGCTATAAGTAGTGCAGTACCACTTTAAAATAATGACAAACACATTTGTACATGTACATTTAAAGTGTATCCCATGCTTTGTTCCTCTTTAGTTCCAGTGGATGTTGATTTTGAATTTCTCTTCATTCTTTTGCCCTGATGAGTACAGGATGAAAAGGATTCATTACTTTATTATCATAATCTTGTCTGTTGAATGTGCAGGTACCATGGCAAGCAAAGTTGTACCATTGAAAGCAAGTTATCATCATATCGTAAAGTAAAGTGTATAGGGCCCTTATACCTGCATAGCTAAAAGGCTGAACTGGATTAACATTATCTGTTTCCTTGCTGGTACCAGCAAATTGATAATTTATGATACATCTAAATGTCCTTAAAACTTCGTCCTTGTGTTATTATATTTTGTAAGATTAAATTTTTGAAATAAGACAGACATAGCAAACATACATTTTTTTAAATATCTCAACTTGCACATGTATATGGAACTGTCTTTGGTACAATTTATCATTTTATCGCTTATATTTTTACCTCTTTTTATCTTACAGTATGCTGGGTGCATGTGAAACAGCAGATGAGGTGAGATCATTTGATCCATATTTTTGTTTTTCATAATGCTACTTACCCCAGAATGGCTTAATTATAGACGAAAATTGATATGATAAATCATGAAGACAAGTTTTGATGGACTACCAACTAGATTGACATACTTGAAAATTGAAATGCTGTGTAAATTTAGTTACTCAGTAAAATAATCATTTAAGTACAGATATTGCCAGTTGAACGAATACAGCCAAAAATACGGCAAAACCCGAACACTTTTGTAGCCATCAAAAGGTGATTGTATTCATCATTTGAATAAATGCAAATCTTTTTCATTCATTTTGTTTATTTCTCAATTACAATTAAATCCTATAAGACATTTAGCAACAAAAAACCCAAAATGACTCTTTTTATTGCTCCAAATTTTCATATAAATGTAAATGAAAATAAGAATTATAAAATAAAGTGTAATAATGTATATATTTGAAATTGAAGGAAAATTCATAAAGATAAAGCTTACCACCAAAGTCTCTAAGGGCTATCAGTTTAAGCTAGGTGTTATCCAAAACACTTTTGAAGCATAAATAGACACTGTTAAATGTTATGGTTTGCATGACACAAGAACAAAATATTATTATTGTTCATGTGTTTGTATTTTGTTCTCACTTCTCCAGGTAACAGAACTTTCAAGAAATGGGCACAAGATGTTAGAGGCCATGGAAAAGAGTAACAAGCCCGTAGTCGCTGCCATCAATGGCACATGCTTGGGAGGAGGACTTGAGGTAAATAGAATAGCTACAAGGAATTTTTGTTGTAGTATGTGTGTATATAGTGGTGGTTATTTTACCTGACTGCTAAGAAAGCATATTGATTAAATAATTGTTAGTAAGCAACCAGACAGCCTGGGTCGCCCGATTACGAGACCACTGCTCAACCAACTGAGGTATCGCGCCTCCTCAAATGGTGAATAGCATAACTATTTGGATTATCTTGGCATAGCAACTTCATATGTCACTGAATATATCAAAGAAATGAGAGTTTTAGGGATGTAAGTTATAATTTTGTCTTTTCCTTTAAACCACTCATGAAAAATAAACAACAGTTTAATTCAAATTTATAATACCCATGGAGTTGTCTGAGTATACACAATATGCTATCTGCAGCGCTTGAATCCATCAGTTGTGTTTATTAGTTTTTATATAACAGATCAATGATTAAGCTGTCATCTCAAGAATTGAGTTCTATTGGTTGCTTATTTAGCAGTAAGGTATAAAAATTATTCCTCAATATATTGGAGCTATTTAAAAATATATGTTCAGTGTCTGTTTTTCCTTATTAAGGGATTGGGTATCTTTGCCTCAAATTCTAAACAAAATCCTGGATGTACACATAGCTCATGCTGCATTCATAATTATAAACCTTTAGGTCAGTAAGGAATCCCATGACGTTTACAAGCCGATCGCTCGTCTGATTATCAAAATATTTATAATGGGAATTCGAAATTTCGAAAATCGTTTTCACAACGGTTTTTATAACACTACATTTCATTGGGGAAAATGAGTATGGTAAAAACGGTCACTCAAAGGTTTTAACTTTTTCGAGGCACTTCATGATAATTTTGAAGCGCAATTTTGTTAAGGCTTCAATATTACACCATATCACAGACACTGATAACAAGTAGGGCCATGCATCTCAGATTTAACATTGTTAAACGATGCCTTTAATATTTACAGGTCGCTCTGAGCTGTCATTACCGAATCGCCACCAAGGACCGGAAGACGGTGCTGAGCGCTCCTGAGGTGATGCTTGGACTCCTCCCAGGTGGAGGGGGTACCCAGAGACTACCCAAGCTCATCGGTGTGCCCAACTCTCTAGATATGATGCTCACCGGCAAGAGTATACCGGCAGAGAAAGCCAAGAAGATGGGGCTGGTAGACATGCTGGTCTCCCCCTTAGGTTAGTTGATGGTGGTTGAGGTGGTGGTGGTTAAGTTGGTGATGGTGGTGATGGTGGAAGTGGAAGTGGTAGTGGTAGTGGTGGAGGTGGTGATGATGATGATGAAGGCGATGGTAATGTTTGTGGAGGTGGTGATAGGCCTGTAACCGATCATCGGATTGGGGGCCGATCTTGAACCGATCAGGTAAGATCGGATAATAATTTCTGATCGCCTCTTGGATTATAATGTAGGCATGCATTATAATCCAAGATGGCGGCCCGCATGTTTTGCCTCTTTTCTCGGACTAATATTATTAATTTGAAAGTCATGAAAAGGCACTAAATATCAACAAACATGGTCTACAACAACTCCAAATGACAAAATAATCCCAGCTATGCATTTTTTAAAGGCATTTGATAGCCAAAAACTTGAAATTTTTCGGCATTTAAAAAAAAAAAAAGGATCATTTTTGCCAATACCGATCACAGGTGCGTACGTGTCGCTCCGATCTTCCGATCCGATCAAAGCCCCAACTTAAAGGCCTAGGTGGGGATGACGATGGTAGTGTTATTGGTGAAGATGGTGATGACGATGATGATGATGATGATGATGATGATGATGATGATGATGATGATGATGATGATGATGATGATGATGATGATGGTGATGATGATGATGGTGATGGTGATGATGATGATGGTGAGGATGAAGATTATGATGTGAATGATGAGGATTAAGGCAATGATGGTGATGATGATTATGAATGATGAAGATGATGATGAAGGTGATGATGATAATGTTGTATGTGGTTATGATCATGACGATGATGATGGTGGTGGTAGTGGTGATGATGAGGAAGACAAACTAAGTTATTCACTTTTAAGAGAACAGGGGCAGTGTGTGTTCATATAGCAGTATTGCAGATTTTGCTTGTATGCTTTTCTATACAATTTCGTTTTCTATGTTGTTTCTTTCTCATATTAATAGGACCTGGGGTAAAGCCTTTGGATGAGAGGAATATTGAGTACTTAGAGGAGGTAGCCATTCAAGCAGCAAGGTAAATAGACCAAGGAAGAAAAATAAATAATATGCAATAACGTTATGCGCTTTCAAAGTACTTTGAATCGTATCACTTGCTTTATTAAAATGATCATGATCAGTGCACTGATGTTGTAAAGCAATGATTTTTCTAATGGATTTATTATTCAGAGCTTATACTGAGACTGGCTTCATTTTATTTTCTTTCTCTGTTGTGAGAGGGAATGTTGTTATACAGTCCTCAGTCAATTCCCCTCTCTCTCTCCTTCCCCCCCCCCCCCCCCCTTCTCTCTCTCTCTCTCTCTCCCTCCCCCTCTCTCCCCCCCCCCCCCCCCTCTCTCTCTCTCTCTCTCTCTCTCCATCTACCTACAGATATCTATCTATCTCTCTTCTGTATCCTCCGTCCTCTTTTTCCTCTCCCTCTGCTGGACTGCTACCTGTTATAGGCCTGCTCATTATTCGTTCTTATTCACCCCTTTTTTCCCGCTCCGTACACAGAGACCTAGCCGCAGGGAAGATCAAGACAGACAAACCAAAGACAATGATGCAGAGTAAGTTCTTTATTAAGTCAATGAAATACTTAATACTATTATTGACCAACTTTGATATGAGATTGATTATAAAACCTTGTTTCTGAAATTATAGAATATAACCTTGATTGAACAGATTTTCATCATAAACAAGGGGAAATTATGAATTGTTGTGCTATTTGATGTTTGATGCTTGCCAAAACGTATGACATGGATACCATTGTACTTCATTTTGAAATGTCTCTCTCTCTCTCTTTTCTTTTTCTTTCTCTCTCCCTCTCTCTCTCCCTCTCCCTCCCTCTCTCCCTCCCTCTCTCTCTTTCTCCATCTTTTGTCCCTCTCTCGCCTCCTTATTTTTTTCTGAATTTTCTCATTTTTGTTTCGGTCTGATTCGCTTTCTTCATCTTGTTCTCTGCATTCCCATTGATAAACTTCATTTACCCCCCTATAGACATTTTTTAATAAAGTTGATGTATTCTTGTTTTCTCTATTCTCGGTTCAGAGCTCCAAGACTCAATAATGGGAACCCAGTTCGTCCAGGACCAGATGTACAAGAAAGTCAAAGCCATGGTGATGAAGAACACAAACGGTCTCTACCCAGCTCCATTCAAGATAATCGATGTAAGCATACCATCATTGGATTCATCTCTAAAGATATATTCTTTTTCTATCATGTACATTTATTATTTCCGGATGTAAGGAGGACTTTCATCGTTTACTTTGTGAAAAATGATATTGATGAAAAAGTCATGTTGGACTTCATGAATCTTACCTTAAAGGTACTATGTCCCATTTGCAGGCCAAAAAAATTAAAAAGTTAAATTCCAACTGCATTTGAAAGATAATACTAATTTAGAACTTCCCTAAAAAGGTGGGGCTTGAAAATGTCTTCAAGTGGTAAAATAACAACTATTAGTTGTCAAATCGACTTTAGGGCTATAGAGCCCAAAAGTAATAGTCTTGATTTTCAGACAATTGTACCGAATGGTCATACGTTTTATGCTGCGCAAAGATTCAATCAGTTTAATCTTGGCCATCTCAAGAAGTGGGTTATTGATGTAGACAAATGCTCATGTACCCTTTACAACTCTTTTCATGTATGTTATTACCAAAGAAGAAAAAAGCCAGTCAGTCACTCAATAGTGTCTGACAGTGAAGTCTAGCAAGTAAACGGGTTTCCTTGCATAATTTGAATATGAGGACACTGCTAACGTTTAAATTTCACAGATAGGACATACATGACATATTCATAATTCCTGCAAAGTTCTACAGAATTTGAGGTTGGCTGCAAAAAGGACATAGTACCTTTAAACACAATTCTTGAATGTTGAACATTCAGACTTCCTAACTTACTTTAGTGTAAGACCTTCTAGTGATACATAATCTTTTGAAAGGAATTTTATAAGAATGTGTGTAAATTGATGAAATTTGGATGATTTAAAGAAAATTGTTGTTTGTTTCTATGGTAAAACTATGAAGTTTGTGAAATGTGTTCATGGGGACATTATGAACAATGGTTGTTTTCTCGGTCAGACTTTTTTGGGGTGAATTAAGAAAAATTGGTCGTTGTGCTTCAAGAATTTTTTCATGGAAGGAAACTTTGGCCATTCTATCCTACTTGCGACATTTGTGCAAGTTTCTTCTATACAAATATTTCTGTTTTCCAATATGGAGGAAATAATTTTGCAATGTTTGAGTTGTGATTTGCTTTCTTTGTCCTGACAGTGTGTCAGAGCAGGTACAGATAAAGGAAGTGAAGCCGGATACCTCCTAGAAGCTCAGGAGTTCGGCAATCTTGCGATGACACCACACGCAAAGTCATTGATGGGACTATTCCATGGTCAGGTACGTTAATTTTTATTTATTTATTTATAAATATGAGTAAACAAACATTAAAGGAATGTTGATTATAAATGCACAATCTTCCTGGAGGTCCTCTGAGTGCATCAGTTGGCTGCGGGGGTAAAGGAAAGCAAACTTAATCACTGTAAAACCGTAATAGTCCCTCTTCCCGAATAGTGGCCAATCGTTCCTAATTTGGAGGAATGATACCTGCTTTTTTGGCCTTCGAACTTGTGCATTAATCCTAGATTACTCTTTTTTCTCAATTTTTTTATGCGAAACGTCTTAAAAAATTGACTCTATTCCTAATTTTTGCCTTGAGAGATTCCCATTTTGTGCTGTGAAAGTTTGGCAAGTTCAAGGATCTAAGTTTATGGCCTATTTAAGATGGACCTTACTCTAAAGATTTTGTTACCTGTTATCTTTTAACCCTTACTGTACTGGGCTATTTTGAGCACCCACTGACTGGGGGGGGGGGGGGGGGGGGCCTGGGAGGCCCCCCCCCTATGATCTCGGCCGTCGATTGTCCGATGAACACGAAAATTTGCATGTTTGTAGATATTTACGTAAGGAACAAGATGGTATAATTAGTTTTTTACGAATATGCAAATTTTTGTCGTTAGCCTAATTAATTATGCAAAATGCGCTAATTTTATGCATTTTACAGAAAACGTGTCAAACTCCACTTTTTTAATGTTGAAACTCATTATTCATATGAAACTTCTTTTCTAACACAAACAAATTATTTTAATGTAATTAATAATGATAATTTATGCAAATTTTGATGCAATTTTTTTTTTTTTTTTTTTTTTTTTTGATGACATGCGCATACTAATTGTTATGTAACGCCTTACAGGTATATCCGATTTCGACGAAAATGGTATCAAAATGTGCGTAAGACTTGAGGGAAAAAAGTCATGAAACGACAATTCAAAATTCCAAGCGGTTGCGGCGCAATCTCCGAAAATGTCGAGGGGGGGGCCTCCCAGGCCCCCCCCCCCCCCCCAGTACAGTAAGGGTTAATGAATTGAATTTGCGTGGGATAGACATGTGTTATTGATGCTCCTGCAAATGGCTCTCTTGGCTTTACGCACACACAACCAGCTTTATGCAGATATTAACCAATGACTTCTCCTAATTTCAAATTGTTATAACCATAAATAAACTTTCACAAATATAAATGATAATGCAGCCATAGTTTTCGGAAGACTATCCCTGAAATTTTGCTGTTTTCTAGATATTTTGTCTTTAAAAAAAAATTGTTTTGTTTCATGCTTCATACTAAAACGCAATGTATGGATTCTGTGTCTTTTTCATACTAACTGACTTGTGATACCCATTCTTGTCCTCATACCTATCCCTCTTTTCCATAAACTAATTCTATGATCCCTTCTGACTCTGCTTCCCAGGTTGCATGCAAGAAGAATAACTACGGCAAGCCACTGAAGAAGGTAGAGACCCTTGCGATCCTTGGTGCTGGTCTGATGGGGGCGGGTGTGGCTCAAGTCAGCGTTGATAAGGGCATGCATGTCGTTCTCAAGGACATGTCACTCCAAGGCCTTGCCAGAGGAGAGCAACAAGTCTTCGGCGGGTAAGTTAAAGCCCGTCTGTACTAGTTTGGCTAGGAGGGATCAGACCACCCAGGAAGGTCACTGACAGGTGGCTACATGTATCTCATCAACTCAGCTCTCAATTAACATAAGAAAAAGGGGATCATGGGGGACCAGCAGACACTGATCAGGCATTGTTTTCTATATAGAGGGAGCAAGTAGCTATAAGTTATGCCGTGGGGCTTTAAAGGGTCATTCCCACTAGATGCAGCAGAGAAATAGAATAATAGTCACATTTGTTTAACATTGGATACTATGTTTCTAAGGGGCTTTACATTTCAATTATTATTACTGCGACCATTGTGTTCAGTTGCTATTCTGCAGAAAACAGTGCACACGCTCCACTCCACCTAAGGAGTATTCCAACCAGCTGCCATTTCTCAAAGTGCTAATGTACAAATCCAACCACAGTAACATGCACATCCTACCTGCTACCCATTCAACACCTGGATGGAGAGAAGCTGTGTAGATTAAATGCCTTGCCTAAGGGTGTAAAGTGCCAGGTCAGGGATTGAAGCCAAAACATTTGCAGGACATCTCCAGTCAAGTGTGTGAACTACACAACTTGACTGCAGTACCGTATTCCTAGTATAAAACCTTGTACATGTAAATGAATGCCAAGAAGGGGTAAAAAAAAGTGTAGCTGCTTGCAAAATAGGCCTTTAAGTATACTCAAGTAAAAGTCGTTGCTGGGATTTGCACCGTGAAGTCTCAAAACTTGTAGAATAGACAGAAAAAAAAGAAAATAATTATATTGGAAAACTTTCCTAAAAGTATGGTGGCAAAATTACAGTCATTTTTACTTTTCAAATTTGATTTTTGCAACCTTTCACTGTTTTATTAACCTGTGCGATGTGTACAAAATGAGGATTTCAATTTTCACTCATAGAGAGAAAACCACAGAATCTTTTGACCTGAAATTTCTTGCTGCTACACATAAATTTTGAGATAAGATTTTGAGGGCTTGCAAATCCCTGATAGGGGCTTTAATATACAGAAATAGACAAATTTGGAATGCATCACAGTGGCATTTCTAGCTGATTAACTGGCATTCTCCTATCTGATTTCTTTTTTTGCAGATTGGATAAAAAAGTGAAGAGAAAGAAGCTAACAAGGTAAGGTATTTCTTTTTAAATGAGTTTTGTTGCAGCTTGTCTTAATTCATTTCAGGTTTTGGTTTTTTCAAGCTTGTAGAAAGAGAAGAAAATAATTTTGTTTAAATATCTTTGTTTTTTATTTTATTTTATTTTATTTATGCAAAAGTTATACAGAACGTCCACAGTTTCTGTTTTAATGAACTGTAGTATGTGACTATATCTTTTCATGAATCATCCACTGTTTTAAAATGATACCGGGATCATTTTAGTCAATATTTGTTATCATAGCGTTCTTTTTTTAAATTTTCCATCAGTTTTGAGAGGGATACCATCATGTCCAATCTGACTGGTCAGATCGACTACACCAACTTTAGCAAATGTGACATGGTGATCGAAGCCGTCTTTGAAGACCTAGCAATCAAGCACAGAGTCATTAAAGAAGTTGAAGCCGTAAGTATTTAGTAATAATAATACTGATGATAAAAAGAAGGAAAAGGAGAAGGAGAAAAATAGTGAAGAAGGAAGAAGAAGAAGGAAGAAGAAGGAGGAGGAGGAGGTGGAGGAGAAAAAGATGAAGAATGATAATAATAGTCATATAAATGTGTATAGCGCTTAATTTTGATAGTGCACATTCTCCGCTCCCTGGGGAGTGTTCTAGCCTGGTGCCGTTTTACATTCTCATTCATGCAATCCATCCACACTAAGGTTTGCATCCTACCCATTTAACACCTGGGTTGAGAATGGCAATTGTAGATTAAATGCCTTGCCAAAGGACACTGGTGCTGTGTCAGGGCTCGTACCCATGACCTTAGCATTTTTAGTCGAGTGTTAAAACCACTTGACTACGACACCTCAACATTTAATGTTTCTTAGTTTTCTAATGCATGTATATAACTAAATGAAGCTTTGGCAAGACATTAATTAAGACATTAATCTTTATCTGCCATTGTCCACCCAGGTGAAGGAACAAATAAGAACAAAGTTGAGCTCGTATTTTAAAAAGTGAATAGAATCTGACACTACCTATTCATATAGCAGACATTCAAGATATCCACGGTAGGTTGTAAAGGGTTTTGTGCAGTTCACAGGAGAAATTTATGGCTATTAGTTTTTTTGAGGTCATCTCATTGAATATATACTTTTATGTTTGCAGGTCATTCCGGAGCATTGTGTATTTGCATCCAATACATCTGCCTTACCCATCACACAGATAGCAGAGGCCAGTATGAGACCAGAAAAGGTAAGAGTTATTGATAGATTGTAATGCTAGGCACCCACTTGGATGCAATATACACCATACTTGCTATGACAGATTCTTAGACACCATAATACATCTCTGACATGTTTCAGGACCCATATACAATTAGAAACCATATACAATTAGAAACTTGTGTTATTTCAACCTGTCACTTGGTATTTATCTTGTCCATTTTAAATTACTTATCAAGTCATGTTTAGATCACATCAACCTTTTCACTGAAGCAAGACCAACTTCAGCCAAAGTGACATTAAAAAACTTGTATCTTGTAATTTTCTAATCCTACACATTTATGGGCACTCAAATTGTCATATTGCTTATAATGTTGTTATTGGCTAAGGTCTACTAACTAGCTGTGAGGGTAAACTATAATTATTTGCTAAAAGATGCAACTGAGTACTGGGACCAACACTGAGTAAAACACAACTATTTTGGACTTAGAAATTTAATTAAATGTAGATGCTGGATTTTTCACCTCACTGCCACTGTAAGTCATTGAATCAGTTGACCCAACTTGTCCTTTTCTTTCACAGGTTGTTGGCATGCACTACTTCTCACCCGTCGACAAAATGCAACTCCTAGAGATCATCACAACGCCCAAGACCTCCAAAGACACCACTGCCGCTGCTGTTGAGGTAGGCCTCAGGCAAGGCAAGGTAATCATCGTGGTTGGAGATGGACCAGGCTTCTATACAACCAGGATTCTTGGCCCTATGCTCTCAGAGGCCATCAGGATTCTACAGGTAGGAAAGATTGATTGAGACTTGTCAACCAGAGACCCTTTTCAACCTTGTGCAAGATTCTGCTACAGCAATAAATTGACAAAAGCATAGTGCACTTCATTGTTTATCTTTGTAGTTTGTTCAAATTCTTGAAAAAATACAAACAAAACTGCCAACAAACCCCCGCCCCCCAATGTAAGTTACATTCCTGATTTCAACTCTAGACTCATTAGCCTTGTATATATTTTTGATAAACTAGCTTAGAGCAGATGTCATCAACACCTTACTGGCTTGAATTAATGACAAAATGTGGCAACATACCTATTTATATTTCTACAGTCCATTTACCACCAATGGATGACATTTTAGACCTTCAAGCATTGCATTGAATCTGTGACAAAATAACCTTTGAAAATATACATGTATCTCTGCTTTGTGTAAACAAAATTAAAAAGATACAGAATACCCACTAATGACCAATTGAACACCTGGGAACCGTTTCACAAAGCGTTTTCTCAATGACAAATGACAAAAACAGTGACAAATCTGCTGATAACCAATCAGAAGCAAGGATTTCAGTAGCTTATAACAACGACAGTCATTTGTCACTGATAAGTTTTGTGAAATGGGTCACTGCTTTACAGTCAGGATTCCTTCAAACTATTTTTGATGCATTACAGGAAGGATGCAGCCCCAAGGACCTCGACAAAGCCAGCACTTCCTTTGGTTTCCCCGTCGGTACAGCCACGCTGGCCGATGAAGTAGGTCTGGACGTCGCCTCACACATTGCCAAAGACCTTGGCCAGAAGTTTGGTGAGAGGTTTGGTGGTGGTGATCCTCAGGTCCTTCATGACATGGTGCAAGCAGGGTACATGGGTGAGTAGTGAGCATGATTGGAGATAACAGTTCAGGGTCCTGTTTCATAAAACCTTGTCATCAATAACAAGATACAATAATCACGGAAGAGGTTTACGGTACACCATGTGTAAAGTCCTCGAGGGACTGAGGAAAGTGGGTAGAAAATAGAAGTGAGATGGAAAGGCGAGAAAGTGGAGGTTGGAAGGAAGAGTATCTTTCGGAAGTGAGTCTAGTCCTGAAAAGGACTGTAAACCAGAAAGTTGTAGGAGGGATGAGAGGTTTGAGTAGAAGACTGGATTGAGTTGGAGAGTTGAGTAGGCGAGTAGAGTTGCAGAGCAGGAGCAGGAGATACAATAACTGTTATAAAGCTACTGAAATCATGGCATTTGATTGGCTGAGAGCATATTTGCCATACAAAATTAGCATTTGATATTGATAAAAGTTTGATGAAACAGAGCCCAGACCTTCATTCGATCTCTCTCCAGTAGTGACATTCGCAACATCTTCAGTATGTTCAAATTCAATTTCAATGTCAATGGTATTGATTAAAATCTAAAAAAATGTAGGATCATTCTCAATATTCTCTTAACAAATATTTAAAGTCACTTAGGCAGGGCTCCCACTTAGCCGAGTTGGAGCCACGAGTTGTGGCGAGCTGACTCGATCTTATGGCAAGCAGTTTTATCATTAAAACATATTTCTTGATATCACAAAATTGAATTCTTGTTATCAGGAATTCAATTCTTGATATCAAGAATTACTATTGCTTTACAACGTAAAATATTTTTTGACATCAAGAAATATGTTTTAATGATAAAACGGCTTGCCATAAGATCGAGCCAGCTCACCACAACTCGAGGCTCCAACTTGGAAAAGTGGGAGCCCTGTTTTAGTCAATTTGTATAGCGCTTAATACTACATTTATAAGCACTTTATATTGCAAGTATCATAACCCCTGTGACTGGATTCAATTACTATTCTGGAAATTACAGTGCACATCCTGAACCATCAGTACATCCCTTCAGCGGGTTAGAATGCTTGGATCCTTTCAAACCAAGTACCTTGAACTATTACAAGGGCTGGCTGATTACTCATTGTACCTCAGGTGTAGCTAGTAGTGGGAATGTCAATTGTGCCACTTGCAGCTTATTGCAGCGTTTTTTTCCCTCTGCATTTCATTGTCACTGCAGCGCTGTTAATTGTTTATATCTTGATGATTGTTGACAGGTCGTAAGAGTGGCAAGGGATGCTTTGTGTATTCAGGCTCCTCCAAGAACCGCGAAGTTAACGAGGGGGCCCAAGCCATCCTGAAGACACACGCCCTCCCGAGGCAGGGTGTAGACAGTGTGGAGGATATCCAGATGAGGATGGTGACCAGGTTCGTCAACGAAGCAGTCATGTGCCTACAGGAAGGCATCCTCAGGGACCCGGTAAGTCGGTGATAGCAGTGGTGGTGGTGATGGTAGTAGTGGTGGTGATGGCAGAGATGCCAACTAGTACGGATTTCCCGTAATTTCTACGAGAAATCGGCCGATTACGGGCGGTACGATTTTCATACCATAAATTCCGGATTTTGCCGATTTTGCCGATTTTCAAAATTAGCACTTTAAGGTTTAGCACGTTTAAGGTTTAGCACGTACTCTTGACTATTGCAGCGCAGCCATCCTTGAATCCATGCATAGAAATCCCACAGGGCTTCCGATTGGACAATTTGTTATCTAGCACACCCCTTTCAGTGCATACATGTGCATACAACATGTGCTTCGCGAGCGGGGGCCGGGTGAAATACCTCTCTTGGCCGCGCCGCTACCGCCCGCCCAGCGCCAGGCCTCGCTACGCTAGCGCCGTGTACACTGTCGGATTGCTCACAGGCTGTCACAGCGTTCGTCGATTTTCGTCGACAATCTGAACTCATGTTGGTTGGATTTAGATATCAATCATCATGTCTTCCACAACTAAGAAGCGTGGCAAGAAGTTACAGACTTTTAAAGAACAATACAGTAAGAAATGGAAATGCATCGTGTAACACCAACTAATGAACAGGTATGTTACTTTTATTTAACTTGTTGTCCTATCGCGCTTGCCTGCGGGAGCTGCGCTTGCCAGCGTGCAGAAAATTACGGATTTTGTCTCCAAATTACGGATTTTTAGCCTTATGATTACGGATTTGTGCTCTGAAAGGTTGGCATCCCTGTGATGGTGGTGAAGATGATGGGAGTGGTGGTGGTGGTTGTGGTGGTGGTGGTGATGATGATAATGATAATGTTGATGGTGATTTCCAGATGAGGATGGTGACGAGGTTCGTCAACGAAGCCGTTATGTGCCTACAGGAAGGCATTCTCAGGGACCCAGTAAGTCGGTGATAGTAGTGGTGGTGGTGGTGAAGATAAGATGATGGGGGTGGTGATGGTGATGATGATAATGATGATAATGTTGATGGTGATATCCAGATGAGGATGGTGACGAGGTTCGTCAACGAAGCCGTTATGTGCCTACAGGAAGGCATTCTCAGGGACCCGGTAAGTCGGTGATAGTAGTGGTGGTGGTGGTGAAGATAAGATGATGGGGGTGGTGATGGTGATGATGATAATGATGATAATGTTGATGGTGATATCCAGATGAGGATGGTGACGAGGTTCGTCAACGAAGCAGTCGTGTGCTTACAGGAAGACATTCTCAGGGACCTGGTAAGGTGGTGGTGGTGGTGGTGGTGGTGGTGGTGGTGGGTGATGAACATGTTGATAAGGAGGAGGGTGATAAGGATGAGGAGGAGGAAGATGAAGTTGATTGTGAAGATGATGGTGATGGTGAGGAGGAGGAGCAGGAGGAGGAGGAGGAGAAGAAGGAGGAGGAGGGGGAGGAGGAAGAGGATGATGTTCTTGATGGATTATGATAGGATACTAATGAGTAATGACAACAATGATTATGGTGACGACGGCTGTGGTGAAAATTTTGCCAATAATGGTGATTTTTATGAAAATGAGTCAAAGTTTGACATTGTGTATTAAAATAAGTTTGCAGTCAATCAGATAACAGGTATTGCTAATGATAGACCCAACCAAACTGAACAATAATTTCTAAGATATATGTTTCCCTGCTTCCATCTGTAGGTTGAAGGAGACATTGGTGCTGTCTTTGGTCTTGGATTCCCACCCTTCCTTGGAGGTAAGTTCGCATTTATACACTCTCCCGGGCCGGTATTCAATTGTATACTTTGTTTAAAAGTAAAACGTTTACTTAGCATTTGGCTAAGCTAGGTAAAATTTCAAGTCGTATTCAGATCACATTTTAGCAATTTACTTTCGCAAATCAACTTTACGGCAAAATACTCACTGATAAGCATTGTGACATCACTCATCAATCAAAAGTAACATGTAATTTACGCTTCGCATTAAATGCGTGCTAATAAAATCGTGCGCAGCTTATGATGACTGCGTATGAAAACCATAAGCCTGCCAATCAATGCTTCTACAATAATCTAGGCTGTCTTAAATTTGGGGTAAAATAAATAGCCAGAAGCATCAACTGGAAACAGAAAGTCGGCCAAGTAATTTATCTCAGCCGAAAAATACTCAGTAGAATACTCATAGTTCTGATTTAAGTATTGAATTGATTACCGTCCCTGATGCTCCTGAATATCTTATAAGTGTTCAATTACATTCATTTCAAATATTGACTTTGCGTATCAAATGACCTTAGCTTTAATTAAATATTTCATGGTGGCAATTGTATTGCTTTCTCAAAAGTAGCAAATTACTGGAGACTAAGTATACAAAATGAAATCAAAAGTGATTGATTACATCCTGATCAAATATAGTGTAAATCTGGAGTATTGCAATTTTCCCCCAGTGCAAATTAGTATTGATTAGCCTTGCCTATAACTTCCATTTGGCATCTTTACTAGATGATAGAGGAACTTGCAAGGTATCTGTTAAAGGCAGTAAGTCCCTTTTGTAGCCTTGTGCAAATTCTGTGAAACTTGGCGAGTGTTTAAAGTGTATCCTTCAGATATTGTGTTGAGTGATATTTTACAGTCGTAGGTTCTGAAACTTCTTTGCGAGAAATGAAAAATCTAGTGCTGTTTTTATATTGCAGCACAAAAAGTTGAGTTAATTTTGAATGACATACAAATTTTGTGTAGGCGAGAAAAAAAAATATCTAGAATTAAACATTCAAAACTTTCTCCCCTGCCTAGGTCCATTCCGATGGGTTGACAGCTTCGGAGCTGACAAGATCATCGCAGCGATGGAGAAGTATGGCGCAATCTACGGAGCAGCGTACGAACCATGCCAACTACTTAGAGATCACGCAGCCGACCCATCAAAGAAATTCCATTCAAAATAGATTATTTAAAACTCGTAGCCCCGCCAAGCTTTTCACCTAATGTCAATTTTTATTTTTCAAAATGAGAAAGAGGACAAAAACTATGTCATATTGAACTTGTTTCCCAAGGAAATGTAGTTTTTGTTGTTTCAACATTTTGCAATGTTTAACTTTGTACAGATTTTGTTATGAATACATTGCTGCCATATTCTTTTTCTCCTCTGACAATTTTAAAGTTTGATGTTTGTTTCACTTCAAAGCAAATGAAAACAAAAGTTCTAGCAAAACTCTAAATCTCAAATATATATACCTAGAAATTATTTGGGTTTATAAGCTAATTGTGGAATGTATTCTCTAAACAAAAATATATTTGAGAAATGAACTAAAAGTTGAAAGAATTGACATGACATCGTTTGGCACAGAAAGTTATAGTTGTGAAAAGTCTTGGATATTTCAATTGATTTCAAATGTAATGTTATTTGTATAGAATATGTATTTTGTGGACTGAAATAATCGGGCAACAAAAGTGATATGTGTATTTGTAAGGCGGTTCTATTGAATTTGATGACCAAACACACTTTCCTGATTATTTATTTTGTCTTTAACTATCATTCTTTTTTGTGATACTTTTGTCCACCATTATCTATCAATTCCTTCACCTCTAAAAAAATCTCATAGATCTACATATTTCCACTCCTGTTCTTAGTTGGCCTTCCAAAATATATTTCTAATTCATTTTCAGTGCTCCACTTGCTTCTTTTGGATGAGTGCCGAGGTTTATTTGATGAAAGTTGACTGTCAGTGTGTGAGTGAAAATCAGAGAAAATTAAAGAAAAAAAAAAAAAAAGATTACGGTAAAGAATGAAATTCTATCTCAAAATGGAGAAGGGAAGAATCAAGAAACAACCTGACACTGTATTTCTACATCTCCATGTTAAAAGATTTATGGAGATAAGTGGGCAACGAGCAACGGTTGCCCCTCATTTGAAATATTTTCAGCTTGCAATAAAGAGAATTAAAAGATATTCAAAATGTTTCTGTGTGTGTGAATTATTTCTTTGGTGCATACTTTCAAGCCTCTCTAAGTATTGGTAGCCAAAAAAATTTGATGGCAAACATTCACTTCAGTTGTATAATGAAGTGAAAGAGGATGGCATTTAATACCGACTTCTGCAAGGATATTTAGAATAAATATGTTTGAAGACAAATTGATTAAAGAACAAAAAAATTGGGTTTTCTGCATATAACACAGAAACCAAGTTTTGTATTCTTTCATCAGTATTCGTCTTCAAACACATCCTTGCAGAGTCGAGTGTTTGTGACATCCTCTTTCGCATCATTACACAATTTAAGTGAAATGTTGCCATTACATTTTTTAGCGAATTAGGGGCTCCCTACACATTAGAGGGCTTTAATAGTATCTTAATTTTAGTTTAAAATGCAATTTACATGTATTAAAGTAGACACACAAAGAATCAAAAGTGTTTTGAATTGATGCAAAACTCATATCATTGCGAAGGGGAAGCCTTGCTGATCAAATACACCAACTCTTTTCTTCAAAATATGTTTGGGGCCTGCAGTAATCAACTCTCAAAAATGTTAGTTTTGAGATCCAGATTTTCTGCCTCAATCAGCGGTCCTTTATAGAGCGTCAATATTTGTGACATCACATACGGGACACTGCTGGCTAGCTGCAGACTGCTACACAGCACCGAGCTGTTCGTCCAGTGTGTGACGTCACTATTCAGAGCTGGCTACGCTCGTGTGTTTGGCTTACGTTCGGGGGCGCTTGGGGTCTAAGAAGGGTCTTGAAAAATTGCATTTTATGCCTTTCCATGATATCTATATGATTTCTCAGCAAATTATTCATGTTTTTCAAGAGAAAATCTTTCCATCCATATGTAATTTGTTCTAATTATCAGTTGTTAGTGAATTCTCTTTGTGTAGCTCCTTTAAATACATTTTTATTTTCCTTTCCCTCTCAATTTCTCTCTTGAGCTCTGTTTTGTAAAGCAGTTTTCTCTTCATTTGCGTGCTCCTGCATGTTTTCTCTCTAGTTCCCTCCCTCCCCATTTTCTCTCTCACTTCTCTGTATTTTTTCTCTCCCCCCCCCCCTCTCTCTCTCTCTCTCATGGTGCACCACCATCCACCATGCATGAAATTTACACAAAATGTACAAATTATTAACTCAAGAAACAATCTGGATTGGTTTCTGCTATAGCTTTTAATGCCTTCATGCAATTTAATTGCAATGCACAACCAAAGCAGAAATTGCACACACAATGCAAGGTACAAGTGTTGCACAAATATATTCAAGATTTGTATCCACTGTCAAAGTAGAACAAGCTCATAAGTTCTCCATTATAAGCAGCTAAATATTTCATTTCATACACATGAATAATATGACAGTACTACATTGTATAACAAATTAGATGTGACGTTTATTCCTTGATGGTAACAGTTAGCAACATTAAATATCTTAGACACCATCAATAAATTATGAAATGGGAGTTCTATAATCACTTAAACTAACTTGTATTGTTTATTCTGAATACCATAATTAGTTTTCACCTCTTGCTTTCCATAATTCCTCTTTCATATGGAGAACTGAAATTTGCTCCTGGCTTTATTTGGCAAGACATTTATTTACATTTGCCACTCTCCACCCAGGTGGTGTATTTTTAACTGGTAGGAAGAAATTCATTGAATGCTTTAGCACCTTATCATGGCAGCCTATTTACAGCATGGGTTTTGCTACGATACTCTGTGTCAAGCGCAGTGGAGTATATTCATATAGTAGGTGTTCTATATATTTGGATGTACAGTATCATTATTTATTTCATTAAAGGTATAGGGTTATGTTGGTGTTGCAATTGAATTTGTATATTAGGCTTGGGGTTATAATTGAGGTATAGTGTTGGTCCAGGGTTAAAATGAAGAATTCAATTATTGTAGGAAGTTGACACAGAGCAATTGTTGCAACAACCCCTTCAAACAGTAGATGCCTTTAAAAATCAATGTCCAACCCGAGTTTCATTTCAACCTCAATTTTCGCAAAACATAGCTAAAACAGGGATGATTAAAACATACATAAAAGTGAAATCATCCCTGTTATAAATTCAAATTTTGAATATAAATAATTATAAAATGTGTAAAATGCAAGTATGGCACCATGACAAATTAACAAAAGATGTATAAATAAATGATATTTTGATTTACAACATGACTCTCGCGGAATGTCAAGAGACAACTTAGTAAAAAATGTTTGTCATGTTTAATATATAAGCAGCTTGATAAAAAGATGCAGATGTATATGAATAATCACCTTTCCAAGTTCCCTCTTTCCTGAATCTACAGCATGTGCTTACATACGGCAGCTAGCAAGAGACAACATGCACCAAAACTCACAAATTTTAGATCGAGGGAGAATTAGTGTTAAATGGTATGATATATCGTCCCTATTTTCACGAAGTGACGGTAGTGAATGAAAATCGCATACAATTTGCATGCAGATTTTCCTCACTACTGTCACTTCGTGAAAACAGGAACGATATGTTTGTTTAAAGCTGCATGAAAATGGGCTGCTAGGTTCAGTTTCGCAATAATAGGACTGAATAAATGGCACACTTCATGACCACTTTCAAGCAGATATTTCTTTTTAAATAATTTCTGCATTAATGACCAACTTGGTCAGTCATATCATAAATATATGAAATGTGGAATTACTGGATTACATATCCATTCTATGACCATATGTGTAACATGTGTGTCCCACTATAATTATATTTTTTTGATAAACAACTTGAACATCAGTACCGGTGTTAAATATATAATGCAAGTTTGGTGAATAAGGTTGCTGTTGTTATTGTTGAATATGAATTATTTCAGGAGTTGTAGAGCAATGGGCCAAGATTGTGCCAGTGCATCAAAATCATTTATCTGGAAAAAGTGTGGGTATGCGCCGCTATGTACCAAACCCCTCAAATACAATGGCCCACTGCTCTAAGACAAAGGGAATTGCAACAAGATCCAAGTGGGAGGTGCTCTGTAGGTTTCCAGGGTGTTTCACACTTGAAAACTTTCCTTCAATATGGCTTCTACATGGTATACTTGAAAGTTTTCACTCATACAGACAAAGATCATGGCTGAAGCTTTTACATTTGTATTCTCTGTTAAAGCCTTTCTGCACTAGTTTGGCCAGAAGGGATTACACCACCCACCGTAGTCACTGACAGGTGGTTATCTCATCAACTCAAATGTCAATTAACATAAGAAAAGAAAAAGAGGATCATGGGGGACCAACAGGCACCACTTAGGCATTATTTTCTACATAGAGGGAGCAAGTAGCTACAAGTAGTGCAGTAGGGCTTTAACAATGACTGTGGACCCCTAGCCTCCAGGAACCGGGCGATCCCTGTACTAAGCCTATGAGAATAAGACAATTCAGGATTCAACGGGTTAAATATAAAGTTGAGTTCTGTGAAAGAAACGTTGTGGAATCGACCAGAAAAGGTTGATCATCTAGCATATAAAGTATTGGTGTGTACTGCAAGGTTCTGGAATCATCAAAATGATAGGAAATTTGGCCAAGTCTTGGTCAAGTTACAAGCACTGTACATAGAAAGATGTATATGGGACTACACGAACATGTGACATAAAAATCTGTCCCAATTTTTATGATGTTACATGCCACATTTAGAATATTAAGGCATTTGAAGAGCCATGCTTTTCAGGGAACATGTTTTCTCTGATGTTCTTCCACACTTGCATAATATAATGATAACGCTCACAAATTATTTTTCACCTCTTCCCAGAACTCAACCTTCTCTTTAACACCAAATCCTAATCACTCTCTTTTAACATTGACTGTGGACCCCATTGCCTCCAGGAACCGGGCGATCCCGGTACTAAGCCTTTGAGAATAAGAGAATTCAGTAGTTGATCGGTTAACACCAATCCCAATCACACAGCTATCTTCATCCAGAGCAGAGTGAAGGTAACCCCATAAAGCCAGAGCTGCCAGTAAGCCCGTCGCTGCTCAGCTACCATGATGAAAGGAACCATGCAAGCTGCTGACAGAGCCATCGCTGGTAGGGTGGTCATGAGGCCCAGCGTTGACCTTTGACCTTCACCCTCTAGACGACCCCTCTTCTCGGGATCCTCCGAGTAGAAGTCTGCCAACATTCTAAAAAAGGATAAGAGAACAACGATAATGCATTTGAGCTATCTATATAGGACTCTCAGACATATTGAATGGTTTTACCTTCTTTTACAGAGTTCAAAATGATAAGCAAAGCAATAAAAGCAAGGGAAGAGAGTGAGTGAAGAAGAGAGATAAAGATTGAAAGAGAGGTGAGTGATTCACAAGATAGATTGAGAGGGACAGATATAGAAAGAAAAACAAACATGAGAGAGAGGAGATAGATAAAAAGACAGAGAGGGAGGGAAGGAGGGAGAAAGAGAGAGAGAAAAGATAGAAAGAGAGGTGAGTGGTTTGTGAGAATCGGTATGAAAGATTGAGAGGGATAGACAGAGAAAGAAATACAAAGATGAGAGAGAGAGAAGGAAATATAAAAAATACAGAGAGGGAGAAAGAGAGAGAGAGAGAGAGAGAGAAAAGAAAGACAGGAGATGTATCGAAGAAAATCAGTATGAAGAAGAGAGAGATTGATTAAGCAGTAGAAACTGACAGGAATAAAGAGACAAAAGAAGAGAAAGGGAGCTAGCATAGTTACTAATTCCAGATTTGATCTCTGCTACTTTCTCTCTCTAAGGCAGTGCCATTATCCAAACTAAAAATGTAGATCAAACCTCCTACATACCTATCCTTTGTTTCAAAGACTCCATGTAACCACCTGTGGCATTCAACGATGTCTGATGGGATCGTTTCCAGGGCGATGCGACGCATGTGGATGTGGACTCGAGGACATTTCCCCATCAGGAAGTCTGATTTGGAAAAGAAAAATGATGATGTTATTTTCCTTTTTTCCTTTTCATTGTAATCCATGAATCTAATAGAGATAGTTGCACAGGGGTTCCCGAGGTAGGAAATTACAACATCTACCAAATTTACCTGGTTCAGTAGGTAATCATGGAAATAGGTCCATGAGGTATTCAACGAGTCCTGCAGTAAGAATTATGACTGACAGGTCGTATGTAAAATCTATATCATTCAACAAATTATAAGATACAACAATCTGCACCTGGGATCCCCTTTGGGCAGAACCCCTTAGAAGAATTAATCTTTGTATATGAAATAATTAGTATAGTTATATCAGCTGAACATCTTTGCCCTGTTTCATAATCAAATCAATAATAAACAAATGCCACAGATCTATGACAAATCTGCACTTAGCCAATCAAATGTCTGGATTTCAGTAGCTTATAACAATTGTCCTATCTTGTAATTGGTAACAAGTTTCACAAAACAGGTCATTGGTTTTACAAAGTGAATAAAATAGTAGAGCACTACTGCACACACACCTGGCATAGAGGGAGCTTCTCTTCTGACGACAGGTCCTTTTCCTTCTTCACCCGTGTTGGAGTAAGCTATCGTTACATCGTAGAGGGTATCTGCAGAGTCTCTGAAGCCTTCTACGCAGAGATGGGTGGCTCGGACGCGAGGTGAGAGAACATGGTGCAAGACGGGCAGACCTGCAAGAATAGGCGAAAGAAGGGACAAAGTTATCGCTGAATGCCCAAAACAATATTTTTGTTATACAGTCGGCTTACGGTTGCACCATGTGAGAGAGAGGGGGAGGAGTACCAACAGTCCTGTCCTGGACTCCCCAATCCTCCCCCTCTCTCTCACATGGTGCAACCGTAAGCCTACTGTTATAGATCTACTTCACCATGTAAGTCAAAAATTATAAGCAGCATCTAATGTTGTTGTTGTTGCTGTTATTGATATTGTACATTTTGTGATGGATTGTACAGACAGACCTGCTAGAACTATGATACAGTTAAAAGGTGTTTTACAGAAAAAATGTAATACATTAGACACATTTGGAAGCTGATCCTAGCTAAATATAGCCAGGTGCTGAAGCTACTTACTACCGGAGCTGAACCAAAAAGTTTCCCCTTTACAGCCCTTTAATATAAGCATGAGTGTCATTCTCTTGGGACCCTATGTAACTGACTACACAAACGTTAAAGAGAAGATTAAGTTCTGGGAAGAGGTGAAAAATAATTTTTGAGCGTTATCATTGTTATTATGCAAGTGTGGATAAAAAATGTTACATGAAAAGCATGGCTTTTCAAATGCCTTAATATTCTAAATAAGGCATGTAACAGCATAAAAATTGGGACAGATTTTTATGCCAGATGTTTGTGAAGTCCCATATACATATTTCTATGTACAGCGCTTCATCAAGACTGGGCCAAATTTCTTAAAATGTTGATGATTCCAGAACCTTGCAGTATACCACACACCAATACTTTTATACTAGATGATCAACCTTTCCTGATCGATTCCACACCGTTTGTTTCATAATGCAATCGCATGACCAGAACTCAACTTTATCTTAAGTGTCCCCAAGTGACGAAAGAAGAAAGATATTCCAAAATAGAGTTATCTGACAACTGTCTCACCTTGCTGGTAAGCAAATCCTTGACTGGTCTTGATGACTTCCTCTTTCTCAGGTCTAAACCTAGTTCCTTCAGGGAATACCACCATCCACGACTGAGAAAAAAGACACAAAGTTAAGAAAAGGAAAATATACTAACACTTTGTTAAACAATATAACGACACAGGCAACAGAATTTCTAAGAATTATTACAACAACTTTGCACATGGTTCATTGAAAATTGAGTGAATGATAAGGTACTTCAAATATGAGATCTAATCTTTTTAAACAATTTTTCCTGAAAGAAAAGCTTTCACCTATGCCAATACCCAGGAGCACACTTACCGGAATGTTATAGTCACGATGATGCTTCAACTGTTTGATGACTTTGGTGAATGAGGGAGGGGCAGCTTGCCTGCTCTTAGCTCTGTTCACAAATATACAGCCATGCTGTGAGGAAGCAAAAGTGTTGGTCTTGTTAGTGTTTTCAATAAATTGTAAAATCATCTTCTTATCATAGAGATTAATCACAAATGTGCCTCCTCTCTCTCTCTCTCTCTCCCCCCCCCACCCCCTCCTCCTCCTCCTCCTCCTCCTCCTCCTCCTCCTCCTCCTCCTCCTCCTCTTCAACCTCTTTAAGTGGGTTAACTATCACAACCAAACTTCAATGCTTACCAAATAAAAGACATATCCATAAAGGGGCAGATACTTAAGGCCATCTTTCACAACATAGCGCACCCTCCCCAGGCATCCAGCTCTAGATGCAAGCATGTCCGTTGCTACCCAGTCAAGGGTGGACTGGTGGTTTGATAAGTAGATCACATTCTCCTTCTTAGACAAGCATTCCTCTGCATCACCATAAAGAATTACCTGTGATATAACCAGCAAAATAGATCATACAGTCAAACCTGTCTATTAAGGCCACCTAAAGGAAACATAGTGGCCACTGTAGACAGGTGGCCTTCTTAAACAGGCTCTACATTCTACAACACACTTTTCATTTTAAAGGGAGACAAAATACAAGGTCGCCATAGGCAGGTGGCCTTTAATTACAGAGTTGGCCACTGCTAAAATCCACCTTGCCCTAAGCCTTTTATTAAGTTATTATTATTATTATCATTCATATAATCGACAAGTCACAATTGTCAATAACCCAAGTTTAAGTCAACTCAACATGCCCGAGTCAAGCAAATATTAAAGTGACTCAGTAACATTTTTGAAGGTTGGTGAAAAAATTGTGTTATTTTTGTATGAAATGTTACTTGTTACTTCTAGAGGTCTGTACTAACCCTCTAAGCATGCACAAAATCCTGAAAAATTCTCAAACCACAAAGATATTAATGGTTTTCTTTGAAGGCGTCACTTGTCAATATCCTCTTGCATAAAAGTTCTCCCAACCATTTTGGAATTTTCTCAACCGTTTTTTCCATGAAATAAGACATAGGGATCTAGATCTCAAGACTCCAAGAGCTTTTAAAATCCTTTCAACACTTAAATGTCTGGAATGGTATAAAGAGCCAATTCATAGTCTACTCATACTCATAGCTTAGCTTTGTGACGTTTCACATTCACCTAAAAATGTCACTAGATATCTAGACTAGATCAGATCAGTTTTTCCCAATTTTATATCGTTAATAGTCTAATAATACTAGTCTGTTTTCACATAACTTTCACATTATCTTTAATACACCTAGCATTGAACTTCTTACTCTTACTAGTCTTAGCACCATTTTCTTCGTCTCATCTGAACAATCAATGCAATGTTACCAAGACCAAGTGCCTGGCTTTATTTAATTAGTATTATCTTCATCACCATGAAGCGGGCCAGCGGCACTTAACTGGAAGAAGAAGTAGAAAAAGAAGTATTCAAATCCCCTTCGACTTTGTCTTTGGTTTAAAAACAAAGTTTAAATTTAAAAATTGATCCTTAAGAAATTGTGTTATAGTCATACCTCTACACCTGTATAATGTTCAAAGAAGAATTCTACGACCCTTTGAAAAGTGCCCCAAACAGTGTCTTCAAGCGTCTGGTACCACCGCACCGGCAGCACGTACTTCAGAGCATGACAGCCGAAGAACGCCCGGAGGTACACCGGAGCGCAGCCCACCATCATCCCAGCTGGAACGAGGTACCTCAGCGAGTTTAGGTGTAAAATTACCGTGAACATGTTTCTCTCCTAAAGTAACAGTTTGCAAATTTCGTAAAGCACATTAAAATTTGAGGATGCTATGGAAGCTCTCTCGTTTAAGAGCTCTCACAACGGTCTGAAATAATTTGCAACACTTTCGTCACTTTTCGCAACTTTTGTTCACATGTTCGTGTATGCACACACATGCGACTAATGTGGTAGAAAATAGCAGACCAATTTCAAGTTGGGTGTCGTCTCCCAAATACGGTTGCCAAAAAGAAATAAACACAAAACAACAAATCTTGGACGCGGTTACGCGGTGATAAGTCCCTCCCATGCAGTCAACACTTTCTTCTTCTTCGTTTCCTTTAAATTTGTTTTTTATTTCAGGTGCCCATGTCGCAACTTCCCGGGGGGAAATACTTCCAAAGTATGACTCATACTTTCATAGAGATTTTCATCGTTTCTACTTTCTACTATTCATTCTTTTACACCGGGTGCATATATTCCGCTGGATCGCTCTATAACACACTTCTCTCTCTCTCTCCCTCTCTCTCTCTCTCTCTCTCTCCCCCTCTCTCTCTCTCCCTCCCTCCCTCCCTCCCCCTCTCTCTCCCTCCCTCCCTCTCTCTCTCTCTCTCTCTCTCTCTCTCTTTCTCTGTCAACACAAACATTATTTCATTGATTTTTGTATGAGTGTATAATGTGTATCGCAATACCATGTAACACGAAGAATTTCCATTGCTAAATGGACAATAAATATGAACCTTATGATGAACCTTATGAACCTAATGAACAGGGGCGTACGCAGGATTTTTTCAAGGGGGGGGGGGGGAGTTTAAAATCGGGCCCAAAATATTTTGCTCCCGAAATATTTAAAATCGTGCCGGCCAAAAAGTCGCTCAGTGGGGGGGGGGGGGGGGGGGGGGGGGAGGGGGGTAAGCGGACACTTTTTTTTTTTTTCGAGTCCAAAAAAATTCGCAACGACTCAGCCAGCCGAAAAGTCGCTCAGTGGGGGGGGGGGGGGGGGGGGGGGGGTAAGCGGACACTTTTTTTTTTTTTGGTCTTGAAATTTGAAAATTTGACATTTTTCTTCGTTGGGGGGGGGGGGGTAAGGTCAACTTTTTTTAGTTGTTTGGCCTGATTTTATTTTAAACTTTCGCAATTTTGTTTCTCTTACATATTATTGTTATTCTTAAATTTGATACAAAATAATAAACTCATCACAATAAGTTTGGTGTGCCATTTAATATAATATATATGTGGGAGTACCCAGGTCGATGTAACTGTCGGGGGGGGGGGCATTTTAGATGGATTCTCACAGCCATCCTGGGCCCCGCCCACCCAGACCCACCTAACTGATTTAATTATGCTTTAATAACTACAGGTTATACGCCAATCATCAAGTGGCCTATTCTGGAGGGTCTCATGCTTAGTTTTGGGGCGAGGGAATTCCCTTAATTTCCCCCATTAACTTCCTACCCGAGAAAGTTATAAAAATAATGAAACCCTGTGAATGATAAATTTCATACTCACTTCATGAAGTGAAGATTAATAAAACAAATTAGCTAAAACCAGCTCCAGGGAAATCAGAATCTCTATTTGGAATGGCGGCAGAGATCAGTTGGAGAAAAAAAGGCAAGAGCGAATTTGTCACAATAATGGTAGATGACAGAACTGCTTGTGTGTAATAAAAAATGGGGGCCGCGCGGCACGCGACGGCGGCAATGGAGCAATAATCATCGCCCAGTAAAGGTAGGCCTATGTACCAAGAAAGGGGCGAATAGCACCCTAGCCTCATTTCCTATCCCTTAATTTTGTATTTGTCCCCCTTCAGGCGCACCGGAAGCAGTTTGGGATTCCAGGGGGCTCACTTTCCAGGGGCAGTGGCGTAATTAATGAGCAAAAACGTTTGGAAAGGGCCGGGGGGGGGGGGGCAGTAGAAAAATCTGCATCACTACCACTCCTACATGCAGGGGCGTACGCAGGATTTTTTCAAGGGGGGGGGGGGGTTTTAAAATATTTTGCTCCCGAAAATTTGAAAATCGCGCCGGCCGAAAAGTCGCTCAGTGGGGGGGGGGGGGGGGGGGGGGGGGGGGGGTAAGCGGACACTTTTTTTTTTTTTTTTGGAGGCCAAAAAAAATCGCAACGACTCAGCGGCAGAAAAGTCGCTCAGGGGGGGGGGGGGGGGGGGGGGGGGGGGGGGGGGGGGGGGGGGTAAGCGGACACTTTTTTTTTTTTTTGGTCTCAAAATTTCAAAATTTGACATTTTTTACGTATGGGGGGGGGGTAAGGTCACCTTATTTAGGTAGCCGTGGGTATAATTTTTTTTTTTTTTTTTTTTTTTTTTTTAAATAAAAAAAAAATAAAAAAAGCCAAAGGGGGGGGGGGGGTTTTAGGTTTTTTAGGGGGGTTTACATACATTAAAATACCAAAGGGGGGGGGGTTTGAACCCCCAAAACACCCCCCCCCCCCCCCTGCGTACGCCCCTGCCTACATGTTACATGAGTATTAACGATCAGGTAGAGCGTAAATTGACGTGGGGTCCAGGGCCTGAGCCCCCGGAAGCCCAGGGTTTTTAGGCAATAAATTACGGTCAGATAAGCATATTTAGATACTTATTTGTGACACTGGCAGTTCACTAATTGGCGGAGAGTCTCGGAAACAGAGCCCCCGGAAGCTCAGGGGTTTTAGGTATTTAATTATGGTTAGATGAGCCTACAGGGGCCCTCTTTAAGACCATTGATGTGGTCCTGGGGGCAAAGCCCCCGGAAGCTCAGTTTTAATATTTAACTACGGTTAGATGAGCATATTTTGATACCTCATTTGTGACATTGGCAGGTCCCTTATTTTTTTTCTCTCTCTTTCTTTCTTTTTCTCTGTAAAATACTTTTTTTTTAAAGTGAGGGGGGCTCGAGCCCCCGAGCCCAGCCGTTCTACAGGCCCTGACATGAAGGCTTCTAAATAAGCATATTTTCGCCCGACTGTAAATTTGGGAATTTCTAATTTTTCAACAAACGCATAAGAAGCTATGACTTACAAAAGAATTGAAAGAAAATACAGGAAAATCATGTCCTTGTAGCAACATTTTGTAAATCACTAGTATCGAATAAGAAATAACCCCCCCCCCCCCCATCAGTACCCCAGCATTCAGGGGCACATGTCTTCTCACCCCTATAACAAAAATAGACACGCTTTCCCATTCTCTCACAATGATTTATAAAAACCTTCATTGATAAATATAGGTGGCATGCGCAATTTTTTCCTGTTACTTTGGAATTTTATATGTGATTTAATTCAGGTTTTTATGATTATTATGCTCTTTTGGGTTACAAATACGAACCATCTTTACTCCTTTACTGCTTTTTTTTTGGGGGGGCGTTATTTTTTATTTTGGTTGGGGGCGCCTATGTCCCCCTCTTCTTTTTCGGGCCATTCATGGTATTTTCTCCCCCCCCCCCCCCTGCCTTGCCTTGTCCCTTTATTTCCTTTCTTTTACTTTTATTCTGGGCTTTTTTGCATTTTGGTATTTGGGTTACCCCCTTCAAATATAAATGCAGTTCTTCCCAGACAACCCCAAAACTTTCCGCCATAACCTGTGCGATTAAATTTTGCCTTCAAGATAGAAAATTCCTCGTATCTAAGTATTTCATGGACACCATAGCTTCAATTAATACTAACAATTAGTCCGCTACGTTCGAACAACTACAGAAGATAACAACACCAACAACCGAAACCAAAACGACTCTCTCGCTCTAGCTCTCTTGCAGATTTTATGAAAACTTTATTGTTTTGCTGGAGAAACACAACAACTTGGAAGCTTCAGACGCTAGACTTTCAAATCAGATGTCATGGAGAGTCTTTCGGGAGGCCTGTCTGTTATCGTATGGGGATGCACAGGCGGAATTCTTCTGGTAAATTAAATTTGTTTTTGGAAGTGAGAAATTGAGAATATTGTGAGAATATTGTGAATCTAACACTTTGACTTTACTATTGTGACGATGTGAGAGTGTGAGGGAGTTTGATGTTGACTCTTTAGCTTTTGTCATGTCAGTGAGAGTGAATAGTCGAACGTCTCTTTTAATATTAACCCACGGTTTACATGGTTTATGATCTGATGATTTTAATTATATTTGTTATAGATATCTTGACCGGCTATGTGAGATATGCAGCTACATGTATGAAGGCATTGAAGGGGTGACCAAAGTTCGCGGATATTTTTCTTTCTTGCACATTACATAACATCCAGATCAGCATATATCATGTTCCATACATCATAAGAATCGTTATTCATGATAATCAGATTATAGATCTAGGCTGTATTTACTTCGAACCAATGATATTAGACGAGAATATCGGAAGGCATACCACTACCAACGTCTGTCCAAAAGTGTGACCTAAGTTCACGCATGATATTTACTGCCCTCTTGTGATGGGCTTTATAGATATGTAAACATTCCAAAAAGGGACATAGTTTCAATCAGAAGCCGAACTTTGTATTGAAACTTTGAAAAAGATAATTATTTCTCTCTATCATTGAAATTTTGCCTGAAAAATACCCTTGTCAAATTTTGCAAATAAAAGAAAATATTTTTCATTGTTTGTTTAAAAAGTTTATCATGTGTCTCCTTTTTATATGTCAGCCAGCATACATAAATTCTCGCTCTTTTCTCTCTTTGTCTCTCCACTTTCCCCTTTTAAATTTGTATTCTTACGAAACCCATAGATTCATTAAAATTCACAAACACAGATACGGTGGAAGCAGGCGCGCATGTTCCGTTTTTTGCGTAAGAAATTGGAATTTTATCATTATTTTTTGGAGTCAATCCCTCTAATAAACTGATTTTCATATAAAAACAAAAACCAATTAGTTATGATAATAAGCTTGAAGAAGCTAGCTTATTCACATTTTTATGTTGCATTTTGACCTTTGGAGTTGTCGACGGTGCGTGCTCAAAGATTTTGTTGTCTCAGTCCCACACAGGCATCGCGTATCTTAAGCGCTTTAGTGTTAGCATGCGAACTTTTGTCACACCGCCATATGTGATAATGTGAGTAGGTCTATAAGTAACTCTAACACAAAGTTATCTGCAGTGCAAAGTGCAATTAGTCTGGGGAATTCCCACACCATGCACCAGCAATACTACGCGGCATAGTGGTTAATGCTAATGCGTATTGACTGGGAGTGGGAATACCCAGGACAGGCAACTTCACATTGATTTATAGCTATACATTTACAGAGGTTTATATGCAATAATTCGTAAAACTTCAACGACCTAGTTTGCTAGCCAATATGTAGATCTGCTGCTATTAATGCATACAATTCAGTTAATCCGAACGCAAAAGCGATGGCTTTAATTTTCGATAAGCGGCCGGACACCCTCACCCCCCCCCCTCCATTCCCGCATCATAGACCTATTCTAGGTCTAAAATAAATGGGTCTAGATATCTACATCTAAATTTGGGTCTAGATTCTCTAGAACTAGATCCAGGAGATCTAACATTACTTAGTTTAGTAGACTCAAGACTAGTTATTATCTAAGGTAATTGTCACCTGACTTCTAAAATACTTTGAAAATTTGGCTCAAAAAATTGCCAAAACTTGACAATTTTGAGCATTAACTATTATCAAACCCAATGAAACTAACAAAGTGACTGTTTTATCTGCCTGTCTGTCTTTGTATCCATGATAAGCTGCTCCTCCTTGCAGTATTTTGATACATCTTTAGCTTTAAATGGAAAAAAAACTGATTTCATATGTTTTGTCTGTCTGTCTTTGTTTCCACGATCAGCTGCTCCCCATTGCAGTATTTTGATACACTTTTAGCTTGAAATGGAAACAAACTGATTAATATGTTTTATCTCTCTTTCTTTTTTTTCATGATTAGCTGCTCCTCATTGCAATATTCTACTACATCTTCAGCTTGAAGAGTGTACTCCACAGTGAATGTAGTTCTACTACTACAGGTGAGCATTTTAACCTTAATTTCAATGCTGTGGCAGTAGAGTTAACAACTAAATTATTCATAGTTTTCATTCCCCTTGTAAAATTGATGTGTTTTTTTTTTTTTTTGTATTTTGTAACTCCAGAATGAAGGATGGACTGGTTAAATTAGAGCTTTCATTGAATACTTTTAGATGTAAGCTTTCATATGTCACATTCTCAAGAAATATAAATGAGGACAAATCAATTTTTCACATACTTAAAGACTTCCAAAACTTGATAGGGTGTGAATAATTTAGTTGTAAACTGTATCTTTGGACAAAGGAAAGGTTGTCTTTCTTCCCTAACTTGAAGATGGCCTTCATGTATATATGTGCAAATTTAGATGTAGTCAAGTCTGTCTATTGAGGCCACCCAAGGAAAATGAAAAGTAGCTACTGTAGAGAGGTAGCCTTTCTAGACAGGTTCTACAACACAAATTGATATCTCAAGGGATACAAAATACATGGTCACTATAGACAGGCAACCTTTATAGAGAGGTGGCCACTAGGACAGGTTTGAGTGTATCATGAAACAGTTTTTCTATCAAGATGAACACGGAAATAGGCAATTTGATTTGAAAATGTAATTTCTCTGAAAACAATAGACTTGGCGTGAATGTTGTCCAAAAAAGTTTTAAAATGGCAAATTTTGTATGTAAAACAAATATTTTGAATCTTTCACCGTGTTGCCAATTAAAGGATTATGAAGCTTGTTTTCCTTTGAAAAATTCCTAGCATCACATGCAATATAGTCATGAAACAAAACTGGATGCAGTATATGCAGAATTTGTTAACCTTTCTTCTCTTGCATCTGGCATGATTTTAGAGCTCTGAATCAAGCCAAACTTAAAAATGTGGAATAATTGTTTCAAAATGGTTTACATGGTTTGATGCACATAGATGTACACATGTATATCCAATGTTTGTTTGTATTCACAGCCATCTTGAGCCTGTGTGCGTCTGTACTGACGGTCACGCTGATTCCTGTGGATATTTTCTTGGTTTCTTCCATGAAAGATACAAATGGAACATTTGAGGTAAACTGTCATATTCTCCCTGTTATTATGGTAGAAATGCTATTTGTTTTGTTTTGTCTTTTACTGTACTATAAGACATTAATCTACATTTGCCATACTCCACCCAGTTGACTATCTGGTAGGAAGAAGTTCCTTGAATGCTTGAGCGCCTTTCATGGTAGTTCGGATGAAGCCAGGGTAATGATATGATCGCAGGGCCCATAGGGAGAACAGTATGAATACTGATGAGGCTACCCTGGGTAAACAAGACATATTATTATTATTATTGTTATTATTATTGTATTAGGTTTTACTGTGATACTAAAGTGCACTTGTAATGAAAGGCTCCATTTGTCCCTGACTCAACCAGTGATGTATGATATTCAATGTTTTCCTCAAGATTTTTTACTTGATTGAGTAATATTGTTGTTATTGTAATGAACTGCATCGTGTGCCTTCAAAAATTGTCCACCACTGGGTGTATTACTATCCATTTCCTTGATAGGATTGGGCTGCAGATAACACAACCAGGGATGAGGTTCAACAAGACATGCAGTATTGTTACTACGGTAGGTACAGTATGCAGCAAGAATAATGATTCCATATTTAAACCATTATCTCCTGGTACCGGGTGGTTCCTGTATTAAGTCTATGGGAATGAGAGAATTCAGAAGTCAATGAGTTAAAGAGAATATACTAAAATGAAAGCATATGGTCCTATAGGGTGAAGACATTTTCGCCATGTTTGTCATGATTTCAGGTAGCATACTTTTTGTTTGTTTTTGTGTGTAGCTTCCTACCTGAGTACATGAGAGGCTTTTCACATACAAAACTACAGTTGTACAGGCATTTAGAAGTTAAAGACATGTATGAAATGAATTCTTCCTGTGGTTTCCTATAGTATCATTGAAAGTAATGGCTTAATTTTGATACCAATGTTAAAAAGCTTTCCAAACAATTCCCAGCATAAGTGGAGCATGTCCTTCGTAAAAAAAAATGTGCACTAATGTTATGCGTAGGTCTTCCTTTTACAATGTATCTCATTGCCTCGTAACCAAAGTATATAATCTTGTTTTTCCTCTTGTTGTTTTGACAGCCCTGTACTGCTGCAATGCATTCTTCTTGTTTGTCATCATCCCGTTTGTAATGTTCTACTATGAAGAAGGAGACGAAGATACCACAAGGGCAAAGGTAAATTCAAGAATCATAATCCCTTTTTGATGATGACTACCGGTATTTCATAATCTCCTGCATAACGTATGCTATGATTAAACTGAAAGGGGACCAGTCACCAAAAATAGTTTGCTCTTTATATTTTGGGCTCCGTGACAACTTACTCTATTCAAAATCTATTCTTGAAATGTTCCTTCTCAATTAAAAAGTGCTGCAAATTTAAATACAGTCTTTGTGTACAGCTATGTCAAAGATATTTACAAGTAGGCTAGTCAACTCATTTATTGTGTGCGAAGAAGTCAACTTTAACTTTAGATTTTTGTATATAAAATATTCATACATGTATTTCTTTTATGTCTTATCTTTCTAGCGATGCTGTACCGCTACAAAGTATACTGCGGGTTTCATTGTGATTGCCTTTATCCTTCTACTGATTGGGTAAGCTGAAAAATACAGGTGTATCGGCCAGTCTTGACCAAAAAAAAATAGAGAAACATATTTATATAGGATAAAGAAATAATTTGGAAAGCTGTTTTTTATCATGGTCCTCATCAAGGACATACAACAAATACCGTAAATCTCAGTGTATAAGGCGCACTTTTTTGCCGCCGAAAAAAATTAAAAGTCGGGGTGCGTCTTGTCTTATACACAGGTACAGAATTTTTTGTTTGTTTATAGTTTCGATTTATGGCGCTTTGCCTGGCAATGTCTCCCAGCTCAGTAATCAGTGTGGTGACTCACCACTTGGAAACTACATGTACAACAACACTCAAATTTGTCTGTCATCTTGGTTTGAAAGTAATCTTTCTAATAGATCTCAATATGAAGTTTATAAAAATAATTCCTCAAATTTTTTCTATAACAAATGGTGTACCACAAGGTTCTATCCTACATGTAGGTACTCTATTGTTTTTAATTTACATTAATGATCTTACACATTCTTCTAAAAACGACATTGTGACTATTCTTTGTGACAAGTTCACAAGCACAAATCAGAGCCTTCAAGTGCACCTCGATGTTAAATGAAGGTCCTTCCCCACATCCAAATGATAAACAATGATGCCTCAGAATGTGAATCATGATGCTGAAGACATTAGGTCTATTTTCAGTCTGTCCATCCAATATCTATCCTTATCTTGATATATCGAAGAATATGAGTGCAGTGAATATATAGTACTGAAGAGATGCAGTGAAATACTTTGATGAAAGATCAAGGTAAAACCAAGAAGTATAACAGCTTTTAACCCTTAGCCTTTGGGAATAAGGTGGTTTCTGTAAGGCTATCTATCCTGTTAGAACAAAAGAAGTCAATAGTCATCAAGATTAATGTTAGGCTTAGGTTGTGCAATTTGGGTAAAGTTAGGTGTAGGATTAAAGGGAAAGTCCACTGTGATATGAAATTGGTTTTCTGTACAGAGCAAATTCTCACTACCCCAAATAGCGATTCTGCCGAGATCCGGGGAAAATCCTGAAAACGCGCATTGCATTATGGGATAGCTTTTCGACATTACAGCTTCCTGTGCAGGCGCTATATTACTAGGCGCGATAGCGCAAACGTAAAACGCCGTCGCCACACAACGTGTATGCACCGAATATGTTGTCTGCTCGGTCTTGTTTTTTTTTCGCAAATATTTCAACGTTTATTTGAACATTTCATTCGTTGTTTTTTGCGTCTTTTGACATCAGTGACGATGGTTTTCTTTTGTGAGGCTGCACAGTGCTGGGCTCATGATTCCAAGCGTAAGAACCCTGAAAAATGGGGGTGGATGAAGGCCGTGACTTGGGTGAAATTTCCCACCGAAGCTGGAACACGAGCGACATGGCTGCACTTGATTCGCCGCAAGGACAAAGTGAATTTGACCCAAAAATCGCGGCTTTGTTCGAGACATTTCGATAAGGAGCAGATTGATCCAGATGGTTATGCCAAAGGCTATCCCAAATACTTTTTCTGGAATAATTTTGGTCTCATTGGAGAACACAGGCGCTAGCGCCAGCGGGATGGGACTCTATACCGGAAGTTGTAGTGACGACCCGAGAGAGTGAAAATTACCTCGTCTCACGAATTTCGAGATTTTCGTACCTATTTAGGGTAGCGAGAATTGGAGAGGAGCTGGCATGATAAGTCACAGTGTTGTCAATTTGTGTTTAACTGATGACAACTTCAAAAATTCATAACTTTCCTATTTTCAATTGGATTTTGACCAAACTTTCACTAATTTGTTTCTCTCATTTTTCTGCGCTCATTAAAACTAACTTAATATCAGGGTGGACTTCCCCTTTAAGGTCAGGTTAGGTGTAGTATTTGGTCTAGGGTTGAAGATTTTGATTAAAGGGATAGTTTAACAATGCTAAATCTGAGATGCATGGCCCTACGTGTTATTAGTGTCTGTGATATGATGTCATATTGAAGCAAACAGTTTTCAAAATTTCTAATTCCAATCATAAATATCTTGATAATCAGACAGGCGATCAGCTTGTAAAAGTCATGGGGTTCCTGACTGACCTAAAGGTTTATAATTATCATTGCAGCATGAGCTAAAGCCAGGGTTTTGTTTCAGAATCTGAGACAAAGTTGCCGGATCCCTTTAATGCAGGAAATTCAATGACTTTGGGGTAAATCGGAGCTCTGTGCTCTCTTTTCTTTTCTTGTTCCCCTTCTCTCTCTCTTCAGTGCCTTTGTTCCCTGGCAGGGGATTCCCCAAGAGGGGAAGAACTCTACCAAATGGGTGGAGTTCCAGTATCTCATCAATGAGTTTGGCAATGGAAGTAAGCAACATGCATGTATCATTCAAAATGAGCTTGAATGCATTATAATGTATTACTAATGATGGGATACCATTGTACTTACTTGGATAACTCCATAAGTTAGTGACCCACTTTGTGAAATTTTTGGAGTCCCTGTTACATAAGGAACCCAAACGTACTTGTGGCTCTGAGTAAAAGAGTGGAGTATGATTGTTAAGTGATTCTAGGTATGAGGATGCAATATTATGCTTGGAAATCACTTTACAATCTCACTCCACTATTTGAGTCTTTACAAAGAGCCACAAATACGTGTGGGTTCCTTATGTAACAGGGACACTAAAAAAGTCACAAAGTGGGTCCCTAATTTGTGGAACTACCCACTTATATTTTAGGTTTACGGAGTATAGATTTTTAATTCAACCTAAATTTTAATGCACATCAGTAGCGTATCCCAAGTAAAGAATATGTGTATGTTGTAAAATTATTCATGTGAACTTCTTGTTCGATAGGTTTTGCATTGGTCCATGTCCTGACAACAGAGGGTTTGAACATGTCTTGTTCTCTGGTAAGGCGGTACTGATTAAAAAGACAGAAACTGAAATGTATACAAGTCAAAGCAGGACTCGCATTAGGAAGAAAGATAACAAGAAGATAGGTTAGAAGGAAAAGAAAAGCAAAAATGAGAGAAGTGGATTGAAAATTGATGATTGTATAATTTATTAGCTTGATTACTTTCTTACCCCGACCTACATGTAGCTGAGGTGTTAGCCCTTGATAGACCTACAGCCTTTGCTAGTCGTGCACACTGATATACTCAATTATCATGTTAGATTTGCATCGTTCTTTATGGCATTCTCTTGTTTCTATTGTTGTATTTCGATTTTGTTCAGCATTTAATTTCTTTATGAGTTTTGTGTAAATAAATGAATTGAATTGAATTGAATTGAATTGAAAAACTTTTTGAAAAGACATAAAATAGACATATAATACTTTCTTGGGCTATAGAGGTGTAAGTAAGAAAGTGTACAAGGAAAAAATTTACACTTACAAAGAAGGTTGAGTTCTGGAGAGAGGTGAACAATAATTTTTGAGTGTTATCATTGTTATTATGCAAGTGTGGAAGAACATCAGAGAAAAAAAATGTTCTTTTGAAAACCATGGCTCTTCAAATACCTTCATATTCTAAATATGACAAGTAACAGTTTTAAAATAAGGCCCACATTTTTATGCCACATGTTTCTTTCTGTGTACAGTGCTTGTAACTTTACTAAGACTGTGCCAAATTTTTTCTCATTTTGATGATTTCAGAACCTTGCAGTACACACCAATACTTATATGCTACATGATCAACCTTTTCTGGTCGGTTCCACGCCGTTTCTTTCACAATGCAATTACATGACCAGAACTCAAATTTATCTTTAAGGAGGAATCATCTCAACAACCATTTTTCTCTCTATTTTTTCATTATTTAAAGAGGGATTTGATGCTCTTTACTTTCTGATTGGCTTCATAGCCTTGATAGGAATGGTTGGCATCATCTTCTATATGGTGAGTTACAGCTTTACCTCAACAGAAAAGTAAAAAGCGTAAAACAATTTTCATTCAGTGCCATAAAGGTCTTTCGTAATACTGTACTTTATTATTTCATAGATTTCTAAGATGTACAGGTATGTTAGTCTCAGATGAGTTAGAAGAAATATGAAATAGCACAGATTCCAAAGATGACAAAGTAAAAATAATAATGCTGCCATCACCAAATACCATTGTCATTTTTGCCAAAACCGCAAATTATGGCTTGTCAGGTACTGTTGGAACATGTTACAAATTTTATGCCTGAATTTGTATGCATTTTCGGATTCCCACATGTTAGGCTATCGGCATGGCAGCCATTCCTATAGAGATGATTAAAGGAACGCAGAGTGTGACTGATGAGCTTGAAGAGACAGACTCTGCCATCCAGCACACCATCAGACGTCGCAATGCCATCAAGAAAAAGGTCAGTTTTCATAGTTTGATCTGTTAAATATTTTTATTTTAATTTAATTATTGTTTTCACATGTATGTATGTCTCAGTTTACTTACTGCAATATGACAACATCACTCACATCTTAAAGACTTATCTCATATGTCTCTATGTCTCTAATTTTCTTTTGTTTTGTACATGAGGAGAAGGACAGCAATAGGAGGAATGAGAGGTTTTACTATCAAGATGAATTGAAGAATTACTGAATTCCTCGCAATTTCCTTCTCTTGAGAGAGCTTGTAAAGCTATCCAAGATAGTAACAAACAAGTTATTAACAAACATGTAATAAGAAAGCTTTGAACCCATTAGCAACTAGAGATTTTGTAAAAATGGCCTATTACTCACTGGAAGATGTTGCAATATTGCTCTCATTTTTACATTGTTCTGAACAATATGAAACATGCGCTATTTTTCTATGCAGAGTCCTACTGTAGACAACGTAAGGATTATGCATGTATAACATTATCACGGTAGACCCCATAGACGAATACTACAGCTCGTTGGAAACGGATTCACGGTTTGGGCGGTTCAGTGAGTAGAAGGAGGGGTGGTTTCGGGAAGTTGAGTTGCTAAAGGGTTAAAGCTTTCCTTCACATATAATGGATCACCATGGATCAGAGATGGAAAGAGCACAATTCTCATTTGTTCATTTCCTACTCCAGTACCATCGTTCGAGCAGTTCGACGTCCAACCGTGACCGTGGCCGGCTCCAGCAGCTGGATGACGAAGAAGAACTGATCAAAAGGAGACAGCGCCATCTCAAGGGCAAGAAGGGATCGCTGAGCGCTCGGTGCGGCAAATTTTGGAGGCCGTTTGAGATCATCGCAGGAATCTTGCTGATTCTCTTCTCGTTTCTCTTGATCACTTCACTCTCCATGACCAGGTACATTTAGATGCAGTCTTTGGCACATAGTTGAACCACCTTAATCGGGGAACACCTGTTTATAGAGACCATTTTAAGGTTTCCCTTTGAACAGTGTTTCTTGTTGAAACCTGTCCTGAAGTACATTTACCTTCTCCTGTAAGTTCATGCAACTTAAAGGCATCGTTTAACAATGTTTCCACTTTTAAAAATCTGAGGTGCATGGCCCTACGTGTATCAGTGTCTGTGATATGATATACTATTGAAGCCTAAAAAATTGCAATTCAAAATGATCATGAAGTGCTACAAAAAAAGTAAAAATCTTTGAGTGACCAGTTTTACCATACTCATTTCCCCTAATAGACTGTAGTGTTATAAAAACCGTTCAGAAAACGTTTTTTGAAATTCCAATCATAAATTGGAATAAAATAAAATCTTGATAATCAAACAGGCTATCGACTTGTAAAAGTCATGGGAATCCTGTCTGACCTAAAGGTTTATAATTATGATTGCATCATGAGCTAAATCCAGAATTTTTTTTTCTTCTGAATCTGAGGCAAAGATACCCCATCCCTTTAAATACATTGAATGTTGTATGATCTTGTTGTTTACTTGATTTCACATTACCTTTATTCATGAAACGGTTTTTGGAGAATGAAAATGAATGTTAATATAATTATCTCTCCTTGTTCAGTTTGGACCGAGCCCTGCATTCCCTGGGACCTCGCAGTGGGTATGTGCTGACCAAGAGAACCTACCCCAATCCTGTGGACATGATGCTTCTCTATGCACAGAGGGTAAGCTCAACAACGGTCAGGTAGGGGTGAGGGGGGAGGGGGAGGGGGGAGGGGAGGGAGAGGAGGGTCGGTGGGACCTCGCAGTGGGTATGTGCTCACCAAGAGAACCTACCCCAACCCTGTGGACATGATGCTTCTCTATGCTCAGAGGGTAAGCTCAACAATGGTCTAGTGGGGTAAGGGGCGAAGGTATGGGTTAACTAGCCTTATTTAAATCCTGTGTACAGTTGCATTATATGATATAATACATGAATTCATAACACACACATATCTGAATTTGTTGATCAAAGGTGCCATAACATTGAATAAGCAAGTTTGCATATTAGCTCAACAGATAATCTATGAAAGTTATATTTCAGATGAAGAAATATGTCTTCAGGGGGGTGTTTCATAAAGCTGTTCGTAAAGTTACGCATGACTTTACGAACGACTTGTATAAGAAGTGCCTGATAGAATGCCCAAAGTTTTTTTCTGATATTTTCAATAACCTCGATTAAACTATGGAAAAATAATATACTTTGCATTAAAAATGTTTTTTATCATAAGAATGTTAATCTACATCTGCACGGTTCAACTTTAGTTGATTTTTTTAATAATGATTGAGCATCCATCCCATTTGGCTTTTCATATACAAGTCATTCGTAAAGTCATGCTTAACTTTACAAACAGCTTTATGAAACACCCCCCAGTTTTGTTTTGAATTGTTCTATGGAACCTAACTGTCTCAGATTACTGCATTACAGAGATAATAGCTCTGACAAAGATTGTGGGGTCTTTTTAAGCTTGTAGATGAACAACCAGTGTTCACATGGCAGTTTTAACTACTATTTGGTAAACTTGTTATGTGAGGATCATTGCTTTTCCAAAGGGCACTAACACATCAACTCGATTTTGAGCCATAGACGTCTTTTTTATTCCCATCCATAGAGTCACTTAAGGAAAGTATTTCTTGTTTAATAGTAATTTATAGGGTAGTTTTGTTTAAAGTAAGTTGCTAATTATCTTTAATTGTTATTGTTATAATTATGTATTATTATTGCTGTATGTTTTATTTGCCTTTCACTGTGGTTTGTTCAACGGTTAGAAAAAATTGTATTAAGCACTTTATAAATGTAATTTATTATAATTATGGGACCTCTGCTGTACTACTGAACCTTTGCGCCTCCTTTGTATTTATGTTTTCATAGAAAGAGTTTGCATCATTTTTCTCTTTTTTGAAAGGCTTTTCCTCTAGACCTTGTGATCTTCAGCATCATCTTGACCTACTTCTTCTGGACTTCTGTTGGAGGCATCAAGAAGATGGGCATATGGTGCTTCTGCATCAGAGTAAGGAAAAAGTTTATCTATAGTGAAGGTGGTGATGATGATGATGGTGGTGGTGGTGGTGGTGGTGGTGCTGATGGTGGTGGTGGTGGTGGTGCTGATGGTGGTGGTGGTGGTGGTGGGGGTGGTGATGATGATGATGATGATGATGATGATGATGATGATGATGATGATGATGATGGTGGTGATAACGATGATGATGATGACGAGGATGATGGGGGTGGTGGTGGTAATAATGATGATGATGGTGATGATGGTTGTGGTGGTGGTGATGATGATGATGATGATGATGATGATGATGATGATGATGATGATGGTGGTGGTAATGATGATGATGGTGATGATGGTGGTGATGATGATGGTGATGATGATGGTGATGATGATGATGCATGATGGTGATGATGACGGTGATGATGATGATAGATGATGATGATGATGATGATGATGATGGTGATGATGATGATGATGATGAGGGTGATTGCATACCTGCCAACCCTTCCGAATAATCCAGAATATTCTGATTTTCGAGATTTTTAGGACCTAAAAATTCAGAATATTTTGATTTTTCAAAATATCTGTGCTAAAGCCAAATTAAGCTTGTCTTTTCATGTTCCGCGATTTGAGAGTTCATGTATTGCATGAGTTGAATGGCAGCATGATCGAGCAGTGAATTTGTATTCGCTTTTCTGCACAGATTTACCTCGTATTGCCAGTTACACTGCCGCTGCATGAGCGAACTTCTGTTAAGGTACAGATTTATTGTTTTCAAGGCATACCGTGCGTGAAATTCCTAATTCTTATTTTCAAATGTTGGCAGGTATGTGATTGTATTGATGATGATGGTGATGATGATGATGATGATGGGGATAATACTTTTAATGATGATGATGGTGATATTTGATTCTTGTAAAGCAAATACCTCATGAAAATTCAACATCCATATGTGCTTCCAAAGAGCTTTGGAAATGACTTTTACGCTGGCTCTAGTGTTGGCATCTATAACGAGGACGTCAAATGAAGCAGCAGAAACTGAAACCCTGTAACCTTGTGATACCCAATCCATTAACTTATCCACAACACGTCTACAATGATTGAAAGGGTTCTAGGACATTGAAGGGGGTCCTGGACATCCACCCCGGATAACCACCCCTTGGACAACCACCCCCTAGGACAACTACCCCCTAGGGCAACCCTCTAGGACGACTACCTGCCGGACAACTATCCTAGGGGGTAGTTGTCCAAGGAGTAGTTGTCCTAGGGGGTAGTTGTCTAGGGGTAGTTGTCCCAGGGGGTTGTCCTCGTAGAGGGTGGTTGCCCTAGGGGGTAGTTTTCCTCCGGGGTAGTTGACTGGGGGTGGTTATGGGGGGTGGATGTCCGCCGGGTAGGTGTCCGGATCCGGATTAACCCTATTTTAACTGGGCTATTTCAGACCAGGTTTTTACTGAGGGGGGGTCAATTTGACCCCCCCTAAGATCTCGGCCGTTTCACCGCCGATCGCCGCGAAAATTTGCATGCATGTCAAGTGAAGTGTATAGAATACTATGGTAATTTCAAATTTTTGAAAAATTCATTCATTTTCATATTTATGGTAATTTATGCAAATAAGGTCATCAAATTCACATTGCTGCCCATAAATCATAGATTATTCATGTTTACGTATTCTTTTTCACTACATATATTTATTAGACCATTTGGAATAATAATACAACACAAACAATTGGAAGAGCCAGGTTATTCCTTATGTTATCTCTTGTTTTTATAATTTCTTATGTATTTCATTGTTTTTTTAACTTATGTATTTTATTGTTTTTGTTGTTTTATTTCATTTATAACTACAATTCAACTATTTTGACCCCAAAACAAACATCTAAACTTTAAACAAGACTGAATAACCAATGTTTTATCTATTTTTAGGAAAAATGACTTTTACATATGTTTTGTACACAAATCACGAAAATGAGCGATTTTCGGGCTGACATGCGAATACAAAAGGTCACGTGACCTTGTAACCGTAGGTCCGATTTTCGAAAAAATCGTTTTAAAAGATGCGTAAGACTCGAAATTAAAAAGTCATGAAAGGAAAATTTTAAATCTGCCGCGGTTTTGGAGTAGTCGCGAAATTTCTACAGGGGGGGGGGGTCAAATTGACCCCCCCCCCCCCCAGTTAACATAGGGTTAAAACAAATCATTTCTATACATGTATTTGTTAGAAGAAAGATATCTTTCTTGAGCAGATGTTTTCATTACGGTTATTTTCTTTTCCTCCTTTTCTTTGCAGTTGTATAGAATCCGTCCGAAGCGAACCAAGCCTCAAGCCTTGCTCTTCCAATGCTCTCTGGTTATCTGTATGATCATGGCTCTCAATACAATGCTCTACACACTGGCACCTGATTACTTGAGCTATGGATACCAGAGATATGTACCAGTAAGTGAGCTTCTCTGCATTTATTCCCCTTATTCATTTTTATGCTCCTTCTACCTTTCTTTCCTTTCTTCATATTTCATTTTATCACTGATTTTTGCTCTATTCCGCTGCTTTTGCTCTATTTCGCTGCTTTTCACATCTTATCTTCTTGCATATATCAATTTCCGTCCAATCACCTGGAGGTCTTCAAAACTGATGAAAATGTTATAAAATCTTCTCTGTTTGCAATGTGCCATTGAATGAATTTTCACTGAACTGGTACACATTGTATTGAATTACCCTGTTGCAGTAGTAATAGTGATTTCAAATGAATGAAATGCAATTATTATTGATTGAAAGTAGTTATATATCCTCGGTTGAGAATGAGTAGCGCTTCAAGTCTAATGGTTTTTTCATTCTCAACAGATGATGTATAGAAATATGATGAAATTGTTGTTATTTGTTTGTTTGTTGCTTGAGATTTCTTGGGTACATTTCACACAGTTTACATGTAGTACATAATCTACATACTACATCTACATTCCTTACACATATTATTCTGTTCTTCTATCTTCAGAGCAACGGTACAGAAGCAGTGCAGTGCAGTACACAGGCTGGCGATGGTAAGTTTTCAGACCAATTAAAAACAAAACTACCAAAGATGACCATATGGACAGCATGATCACTGTGTATACTATACCAGACTAATGTCCATTTTCTATACTACAAATGTATGTTCCTTTAATTAATATCCTATATGGTTGGTTGGTTGGTGGGTGCGGGTTGGCATCTAAATACTCGGGTGTCAGGACATGAAGTACGATTTGTCTTGATTACCCCCTGATTGTATAAAGAACATAATACTTAGTATATTTAAATATTTTGCAATACTTTATAACATTTATCACATTACATGGCTATCTATTCTGTAAAACTATTTTGATTTGATTTTTCAAAAGCTATTTTTAATGATTTGTATCTGCTAACATTACCTGTCCTGCATGGACCATTAATCAGGTCAAGTCCTGGGCTTTTCTTATTGTGTTCTTCTTTTCTTTGTATGCCCTTGTCATACAATATCTGTTCCTTTATTGCTGAAGTATCAGTAAAGTGATGTACCAACAACAACAAAAATAAAAATGTATTAAAAATCCTCTATGTTTATGGGTTTTCCTCCAACAACAACAGAGTGTGTCATGACTGTTACAGTGACGCTCATGTCCAAGTTCCTCTATAAGGTCTGGTTCTTTGGGGCATGCTTCTACTGGGCCACATGGGGCTTCATAGGGGTAAGTATATTGTGACTGCATTGCTTGATGATAACAAATTAGTTGAAATTGTATACATTTGCTAATAAAATGATGTGTAAGGCTCAACCTTAAAAGCTTATAGCTGGGGGGTACCTGCTCCCCTACCAGTTTCTTTAAGATTCTTCTTACAACCAACATGTGAAGAGAAAAAAAATGGCATACGTATTGGTATCAGCTTCATGCCTTTTTATGTCTCTTCTCTTTCAAAAGCTCATAACATCATTATAATAATAATAATCTTTTAAAGTCCACTCCAAATTTTATTAAGTTAAACCGAAAATGAAAATTCTTTTTGCCCAATTGATCGTGAGCCCTGCAGCCACTGAGCAGCGCCAGATCGACATTGCTCTATCCCTTATTGTTGAACGCCAAACAAGGTAGCAGCAACTCCTGTCTTTTAACGTCTTTTGGTATGACGCGGCCGGGGTTTGAACCCATGACCTCACGGTTGTGAGGCGGAGGCTCTACTGACTGAGCCAACACACCGGTAGTATGCAGGGTTCTTTCAAGTACATACCACCCTTAAGACTAATACCAAGCTTAAGAGAATCAGGGGTAAATTCTCCCTGTCAAGAGTAGTGACAAAGGAAATGAATATGTCAGTGCATCCTCTCAACCTGCAAAATTCCTAGGACTCTCCTAAACCATCCACTGGGTGCTGCACAGTGATTTCTATCAAGGATGAAAACAATTTTTATCGTGGAGCTTGGTTATAAATGTATCATGTTTATTATAATTTCTATTTTTCTTCTATTGTATGATAGATGTTCCTCCTGAGCGTGGTCATCTTTCTCTTCCGCCGTCGCCGGTCAGCCATCGCTGGACGTGTGGAGGCTTCGGATACAGAGGACAGTGACGAAGAGATCCTAGATCCATAAGCTGGCAGTGCCTTCATCTCATTATATGCTTCGTTTATTACATACAGTTAACATTTAAATTATTCATACCCTTATCAAGTTTTGTTATTTTATACAGTATGTCAGAAAATTGATGTGTCCTGATTTGTGTTTCCTGAGAATGTGACATATTAAAGCCCCACTGCACTACTTATAGCTACTTGCGCTCTCTATATAGCAAACAATGCTTAAATCAGTGACCATTGGTCCCCCATGATCCTCTTTTCCTTATGTTAATTGAGAGCTGATTTGATGAGATAACCACCTGTCAGTGACCATGCAGGGAGGTCTAATCCCTCCTGGCCAAACTAGTGCATGTTAAAGCTAACATCTAAAAGTAATCGACAAAGGTCTAGTTCAACCAGTACACCTTTCATTCTTGAGTTACGAAGAACACAAACACACACACACAAAAAAAAATCAAATTAACAAGGGTATGAATAATTTAGTTGTTAACTTTATATTTTCTATTTGGAGCCAGAAGGGCGTTACTTTATCACAGAGTTATAAACGATCTTCTGGCTCTAAGCAGAGGATTTAATTATTTTCTTTTTGTTCTTATTATTGCTGCATAAGTTATTATTGCTACATTCAACTCGCTAGAGCTTGCACATAGAAAGTATCATATTATCCATTGTTAGTGAATCAGTGCATTTGGATTTCTTGAGTGTTCTGAATTCCTTTTTCTTTTCTTTTTAAATTTTTTTAAATTTCAAGCTCTTTATGTTCATGAAGCTAGCACAGCAATATACGGTATATGATAATAATAATAATAATAATAATAATACATTATATTTATATGGCGCTTATTACAATGTTTCTAAGCGCTTTACAAAGTTGTACTTAAATAGATGATGATGATGATGTAGCTGATAGAATACCTGTATGTTTCCCTAGGGACAAAATAATTGAGAGATAAATTCCTAATGAAAAAAAACTAAAAACTCTGGTGCTTATCAATACAAATGATGATCCATTGCATTATCTTGAAACTGCAGTGAAGATTTCATCTAATTCAGTTCAATTTATATTGATTATATTTAGAATTGCATGAATCCACCTTACTAACCAGGTGTTGTATGACATGGAATTTGTAGAATAAAAAAGAAACTACACAGTAACAAAATATTCATATTCATGCATTTAACAATTTTTTTTTTTATCAATTTATGCCAAGGGAAAGGGGTTAGTCATGGAACAAAAATTTGTAGGATTTTAGAACTTTGCACAGTTCTTAGAAATGATGCAAAGTGCCATTTATCTTCCCTCACTCAAAGTAAGATTTTATGTGTTGTGTGCTATCTTAATTTCATTGTACGTTAGTTTATGCATATTTGGAAATAAATCGATTATCCAGTGGAACACAAGAAGATAAAAGAGTACAACCTATACTAGATGATTTTAAATGATCAATGTTTTGGTACTACAATATTTATAGTAAATGGATTTATGAAAAACATGAAGGAAAGAATTTTGTATGAAGGAAATTATATGTAAAACTCAGATGATATTTGGTTTTTAAGTTTAAATAAATGGTTTTGGCATCCAATATACTGGAATGCATTGAGCTAAGGATACAGTATGTAACCTATTAATTACTTTTAGCATTATAAACTTTCTTTTTCATGTTGACAACTGAAATTAAATTATTGCACTTATGTTGTATTTGATTATTTATGTTTTAAGTGATACAAGGTAATATAAATTGCTTTAAAGTGACTGAGTAACATTGTTGAAAGTTGATGAAGAAAAAAATGTGTAATTTTGTATGAAATGTTACTTATTATATTCCTTCTACTGTACTAACCCTCAAACATGCAAACAATCCTGAAAATATTCTCAAACCACAAAGATGTTTATGGTTTTCTTTGAAGGTGTCACTGTGCAACACTTTCTTACAGTAAATTTTCCCAACCGTTTTTACATGAAAATAAGACATAATACAGGCTTGTCAAAGTCTATCAACACTTAAATGTTTGGAATGGTATATAGAGCCAATTTGTTGCTTTGTGATGATTTACACTCACCTAAAATGTAATTAAATTGTAATAATATAGTTGGGAGAATTAAGTAATCAATCAGATAAATTTTCCCAATTGTTTTCATTAATAATGTTCTGTTTTTCACTCAAACTTTCAGATTATCTTTAATTGTACATCTAGCATTGAAGTCACTACCTTAGCACCATTTCTCTCATCTGAACAATGTTACCAAGTACCTTTAAGTATGGCTATGCTGATAACTGAAATCAAATTATTGTACTTATGTTGTATGTGATAATTGTATGAGTTAAGTGATAAATATTTAGGAGTCATACAAGGTAGTATATCTATGTTGTTGATAATGATATAATGGAAAGTATTATTTTCTTGTATATTAATGCAAAGTGGCTTAGAGCAACAAAGATTTATAGATATCATTGATATGTTTTTTTCTTCTTATTTTGTTGCATTTGTACAAGATTGATCTTGGACAATTCAGAAAGAATTCGAAGGGAGTGAGAAAGTGACGGGGAAGATATGGAGAGAGCATTAGAGAGAGCAAAGAGGGGAGGGAGAAGGGATGGAAGGAGAGGGAGAGAGTGAGAAGGAGATGGTGAGAGCATTAGAGAGAGCAAAGAGGGGAGTGAGGAAGGACGGAAGGAGAGAGAGAGAGAGAGAGTGAGAAGGAAAGAAAGGAGATGGTGAGAGCATTAGAGAAAGCAAAGAGGGGAATGAGGAAGGAGAGGGAGAGAGAGTGAAGAGGAAGGGAAGGAGATGGTGAGAGCATTAGAGAGAGCAAAGAGGGGAGGGAGAAGGGATGGAAGGAGAGAGAGAGAGTGAGAAGGAGATGGTGAGAGCATTAGACAGAGCAAAGAGGAGAGGGAGAAGGGGGAGGAGAGGGAGAGAGAGTGAGAAGGAGATGGTGAGAGCATTAGACAGAGCAAAGAGGAGAGGGAGAAGGGGGAGGAGAGGGAGAGAGAGTGAGAAGGAGATGGTGAGAGCATTAGAGAAAGCAAAGAGGGGAATTAGGAAGGAGAGGGAGAGAGAGTGAAGAGGAAGGGAAGGAGATGGTGAGAGCATTAGAGAGAGCAAAGAGGGGAGGAGATGGAGAGAGTGAAGCGGAATGGAATGAGATGGCGAGAGCATTAGAGAGGGGGAGAGAGAGAAAGAAGCGAAGTGGGGAAGGAGGTAAGGAGAGAAAGGGAGGGGAGGGATGTACACAATGTTATAGCGAGATAGAAATATAAAGAAGAGAAAGAAAGACCGCAGTTTCACAGACATAAACGACGGAAATTTACAAATAAAAAGGTTTCAAGGTTAATTATTACTCCTTGAAAAAAGGATGGGGGGAGGGAGATGATGATTTGGGGGCATAATTCTCAATTATTTAATTGAAATGAAATGTGGACTTAGACCAATATTCATAAAAAAAAATACAAACTATACGAATAGAATGGGGGAGTAATTGTTTTGATATAAACTAAAATCTTGCAGGTAATTGGATTACATGAAGCACGTTTATGAGCTAAACCGTAAGCGCAAAAATGTGCATCGACACTTACAAATCACAATCAGTTCGTTTATTTGTAAAATGCAATATCGTAGAATAAGAGGTACCGAGGCATTTTCATGACGGCATGTAATCAATATATACATCACCTGCCTCGAGAGAACAGCTGGTAAAGTGAGAATTGGTTTCATTTGTTTCTATCTTTTAGTACCCTTTTCTTTCTTTTTCATTAGCGTTCCATCGATCAATTTTTTTTCGACAAGCAGGCTGTGATTACTGTATTGTTTTAATATACGTGCATGGGAAAGTTAAAAACACGAGATACTTCACAGCTCGGTTCGCATTGTTTTTGTAGCGTCATTGAAGCAGATAAATTATAATACTCATCAGGGAGGGATCGGGAGGAGGGGTGGGTGGGAGTCGCAGGGATCAGCACGTACCCCCCCCCCTTTTTTTTTTAAATTTGGATTTGCATTCGTTTTTGTGAATTGGACCCCTTATATTTATGTCTGATTAACTTTTTTGCACTTGCCAGAGGTTTCAGTGGAAGTGTAACCCTATTTACAAATTCTCGGAGCCGCCCTTGCTCATTCACTGTGCGTCGGTACACTGTAGTTTACTATTATGATAAATCAAGGGGAGATTTGAAGTGGAAGATGTCGGATAGGACTCTATATGCATTCACTATTACCATATACTCAGGGGCGGCGATTTCTATTCCTGACCGGGGGGGGGGGGGGACGAAATGCGATATTTACTAGTACATTTTGAAGGGTATTATGTGAGGGAGCGTAGCGACCGAGCAAGAAGATTTTTTTTTTGCATTTGTATTAGTTTAAACGCTGCAATATTGGGCCCTCCGGTGCCTAAAAGAGATTTCAGTCTTTAATCAGTACTTGCTATACATTTTTTTTAACACTTTTTCTAAATTTCCGGGGGGGGGGGGGTGAACGATCCCCCTAAAAAAAATTGAAGGGGACGTGTCCCACCCCAGGCCCCCCTCCCCCCCCCCCCGGATGGCCGCCCCTACATATACTATACTATAACTTACCATAATACTTTCAATTGGGATATAGACTTTGTCTATGTTAACATATCTGATATAAAAAATACCAGTCTATTTTCAGAAAAACCCTGAACATAGGCCCGTGTTTTGAAACAAATTGAAACAAACAAGAAGGCTTATACAATCAGTGGTAGATATGAAACAATTACAACAACAAAATAATTTAGAGTACATGGGCGGGAAACTGGAAAAGTACATTATTAGCTGATAAAGGGTGTCCACTAATAATATTCAATAATATTTAGCTTGTATATAGCGCTTAATACAATGTTATGTTGTTATTATGTTTTATAATCTGTCTAATGTTGTATATCTTTGTAACACACATGTACCAGTGAACAATGAATGTCCATTTGTTATGGACAATAAATCAATTCAACTAAACTCTAAGCGCTTTACAAGTATACTATTACCCACGGTCATTGGATTCAGTGCTTGCCCGCACACACTGTTTGCACAATCTCCACTCCCTGGGGAGCATTCCAGCCAGGCGTTACTTGAGGCTCAAAATCCTACCGGGTACCCATTTGACACCTGGGTGGAGAGTAGCAAGTGCAGGTTAATATCTTGCCAAGGATATTAGTACTGTGTCGGGATTCGAACCCTCGACCTTCATATCTCCAGTCAAGCGCCTTAAACCAATCGACCATGAC